TTATGGGAATCAGAGTGGGGCTACAAATCTTTTTTCAGTAGTTATACAAGCAGCTCAGCCGGAGTTGCAATACTTTTCAAGAATAACTTTGAATTAGATATCCATTCAGTTAAACATGACTCTTTGGGTAGATATATTATAATGGATATTTCAGCAAATAAATTTAGATTTACTTTAGTAAATTTGTATGGTCCAAATAATGATAGTCCAGAATTTTTCCAAAACATAAAAGAAGAAATTACAAAATTAGAAAACATGTCTATCCTTATGTGTGGGGATTGGAATGTTGTTCAAAATAAAGAACTTGACACTTTCAATGTTAAGAATCTTAATAATCCAAAGGCAAATGAAGTAATAAAGAATATAAAAAATGAACTTGAAATTCATGACCCATGGAGAATCTGGAATGAGGAAGTAAGACAGTACACATGGAGAAGATCAAACCCAGTTATTCAAAGTAGAATCGATTATTTTCTTGTATCTGATTGCATTTTTAGTAAAGTATTAGATACCAAAATAATTCCAGGATATAGAACTGACCACTCAGCAATTGTATTAAAATTCAAAACAAGTGACAGTACTAGAGGGAGAGGTTACTGGAAATTTAACTGTCAATTATTACATGAAAATGAGTATATAGAAAAAGTAAAGCAATGTACTTTGGAAACAATTGAGGAATATAGGGTATCAGGAGATATTGAGCAAAGGGAGAGTATTCAATTTAGTATAAGTAATCAATTTTTCTGGGAAGTTTTGAAAATGAAAATCAGATCCTTAACAATAGAATATTCATCTATAAGATCAAAAAAACAAAAATTAGAAAGGAAAAAACTAGAAAAGGAAATTTTAGATTTGGAAGGAAAAGTAAATACTTCAGGAAAAGCAGAAGATATTTTGACACTTGAAGAAAAAAAGCAAACTTTACAAAATTCTAGGTCAAATTATATAGAGGGTTTAATGTTACGCTCAAAAGCTACCTGGTATGAAATGGGGGAAAAAAATTCTGACTATTTCTGTAAATTAGAAAGAAGAAATTTCTTAAATAAAACAATATCTGAATTAATAAACTCAGATGGTAAACATATTTCAGATCAGTCTGACATTCTGGATGAACAAAGGTCTTTTTTCTCAAATTTATATAAAAGTAAAAAAAATAAAAATAATGAAACATTTTTGTCTGAAAATATCTTTTTACAACATAACGTCAAATTATCTGATGAAGAAAGAGACAATTGTGAAGGTTCTCTGAAACTTCAAGAATGCACAAAGACACTAAAAAATATGAAAAACAAAAAATCACCAGGGTCAGACGGGTTTACAGTGGAATTTTACAAATTTTTCTGGAATGATATAGGTATCTTTGTTATGAATTCTTTAAATGAAGGGTTTTTAACTGGAAAACTTTCACAGTTCCAATCTCAGGGGGTAATTACATGCATTCCTAAAGAGGAAAAGGATAGAAGATACATGAAAAATTGGAGACCTATTTCATTATTAAATGTAGATTACAAAATTGGTTCTAGTACCATAGCGAATCGCATTAAGAATGTGTTGACCAGTATTATAAGTGATACCCAAAAAGGTTTTATAAAAGGACGTTTTATAGGTGAAAATACCAGGTTTTTATATGATTTAATAGATTACCTTAAAGATAAAAAACAGTTTGGTTTGCTCCTTTTATTAGATTTTGAAAAAGCTTTTGATTCATTAGAATGGGATTTTATTGTTAAAGCATTAAAGTCCTTTAATTTTGGGGAGTCATTAGTTAAATGGTTTAATACTTTTTACTCATCCAGCACAAGCTGTGTGATAAATAATGGAAACTTATCCTCCTTTTTTAATCTTGAACGTGGATGTAGACAGGGAGACCCATTAGCACCATATATTTTTATCATTACAGTAGAACTACTAGCAATCTCATTGAAGAAAAATGAAAATATCAAAGGCATATCCATTAATGGGAAAGAAAACAAGCTAGGACAGTATGCAGATGACTCTTTTTTAACATTAGATGGAAGTGAAAAATCACTGAGAGAATCGATGAAATTAATTGAACAATTTGGAAATGCATCTGGTTTGAAACTTAATATTTCAAAATCTCAAGCAATATGGTTAGGAAGCAAGGCTGGATCAAAACAAACTCTATGCAAAGACTTAAAAATTAATTGGGGTGGTGACACCTTTAAGCTTTTAGGAATAATATTTACAGAAAACTTAGAAAATATTGTGACTATTAATTATCAATCCAAAATAAATTCTATCAAAAAATTACTTGCATCATGGGCAAAAAGAGATTTAACTCCCATAGGAAAGATTACTGTCATTAAAACGCTAGTTATTCCAAAATTTATACACTTATTCTCAGCTTTACCAAATCCACCAAAAGAACTTCTTAATGAGATCAATAAAATTTTATTTCAATTTATTTGGGCATACAAGGTGGAAAAAGTAAAAAGGAATACCTTAATAGGTAAAATTGAAGAAGGTGGACTAAATATGATTCATTTATCCTCCTTCATATCATATATAAAGCTTAAATGGATAAAGAGAGTCCTTACAGACAACAGTGGAGCATGGCAGCAATTATTATGCTGTATTTTAAATCAAAAAGATATTAATTTTGTATTTTATTTAACCAAAGAAAAACTTTCAGAGTTGTTGAATTACATTGGTAATGATTTTTGGAAAGATGTTATCAAAGCTCTTATAATTGTTAAAAAAAATCCTGTGAGTGTTTTAGATTATTTATATTCTGATATCAGAAATTTTGTTGATGTAAATAAATGGAGTTTCTACACCTCTTGGGTGGAAAAAGGTTTTAGAATACTGAAAGACTTATTGACAGATAATGGAAAATTTAAGTGTTTTAATGATGTCAAGAATATGGTTGGTACTAATAATTTTTTTAACTATTTTAATATTATATCAAGAGTACCATCAAGAGTCAAAAGGGAAATAATTGTTTATATGAGAGATAGAGGTAATCAATTTGTAGAACCAGAGAAATGTGTTATACAAAAAATGATGTCTGTGACAAGTATGAAATTTCTGTATAAAGTTATAAAAGATAAGAAATTTGTGGCACCAGAGCCCAAAAAATTAAAATGGGAGATTTATTTAAATGAACCTATCACAGAAAAACACTGGAATTTTTCCCTTCAGAATGCATCCATATGCACAAAGGACACCAAAATAATTTACTTTCAATATAAAATTCTTATGGGCTTCCTAGCCACAAATTCTTTTCTTCACAAGATAAAAATTGCTGAAAATAATATTTGTTCTTTCTGTAAAACAGATCCAGAAACATTGATTCATCTTTTTTATGACTGTATACATGTAACCAGGTTTTGGAGAGATTTTGAAAATTGGTATCGTGCTATTGAAAATGATTATGTAATTTCAAAACAAAAGGTGATGCTTGGTAATATTGATGGAAGTTGTTTAGAAAATTTTCTTATCTTGTTAGGAAAAAAGTACTTGTATCACTCAAGATCTCAATGTACAATACCTAAATTTACAGAAGCAATTAACATTTTTAAGTATTATAGAAAAATCGAAAAATATTGTGAAAGTAACTTTCATTGTAAAACTAATATGTATAGTAAATGGGCAATGTTTGATTTGATTTGTTAATATAAGAAATTCTAATTAGTATAACTATAGCTGTAATATTGAACAGTTGGGGTTTTTTTTTGGGAAAGGTGCACAGTGAGTGTGTGGATGTGTGTGGGTGTGGGTGTGTTTGTACATATATGTCTGTGTTATTTGATATTATGTATATGAAAACTTTTTCAAAAATAAAGCATTTAAAAAAAAAAAAACTTATGTGACAGCTTCCTGACATAGTGTAGATTCAAATATGTTCAAATCATGACCCCCAGGAGTAGGGTGGGGCCACTAAGGGCGATCAAAGTTTTACATAGGAATACAAAAGGAAAATCTTTAAAAATCTTCTTCTCAATAACAGAAAGGTCATGATTAGTCATAATTAGTTGAAAGCATTCTCAAGTAGGGTAGATATAAGTTTGTCTATTTCATTACTCCTTGGTGGGGCCACTATGGGCAATCAAAGTTTTTTGGGGGGTATAAATACAAAAATCTTTAAAAATCTTCTTCTCAAGAACAGCAAAGTCATGAACAGTCATATTTTTATGGAAGCATCCATAGGTAACGAAAATTCAAAATTGTTCAAATCATGACCCTAGGGGTATGGTGTTGCCACTATGGGTGATCAAAATTATACAGTACAAATAGGAAAAATCTCTAAAATTCTTCTTTACAAGAAGAGCAAAGTCATGATTAATTATATTCATATGGAAGCATCCTCAGGTAGTGTCCAAATCATGACCTGCTAGAAATACACCATACATGGGGATCATAATCCTTGAAATTCTTTTTCTCAAGAGGAGCAAAACCATGTTTAATTATATTTATACTGAAGCATTTTTGGGTAGAGTAGATTCTTTTTTTTTTGTTCAAATCAAGACTCCCAGGGGTAGGATGGGGCCACAATGGCCAAACAAATTTTACATACGAATATATATGAAAAATCTCCCTTTTCAGAACAGCGAAGCCACGGTTATTCATAAATTTGTATATATGGAAGCATCCTTAGATTCAAGTTTTTCCAAATCATAACATCTGAGTGTAGGGGGGGGGGGGGGGCTAAGGGTAGGGTGGGGCTTAGGGTAGGGTGGGGCCACAATATATTATCTTGATTTGACATACTTAGAAATATACTAGTATTGAGAAAAAAAATCTGCTGTAAAGATCAGAAGAGGCTTAATTACTCAGGTGAGTATTGTGGTCAAGGGCTTCTTGTTCCTATTTAGAACTTTGATTTCCCACTGTTGCTCCAACCTAAACAACCCCCCCCCCTCCCCCGACAATGATTTGAACAAACCTGAATCTACACTAACTGAAGTTTTTTGTAATATACAGATCTTTACTTTCCTTTTAACTAAATTATTTTTTTTACCAAAAATATGTGGAAAAACTATTGTACTTCTCTTTTATTTAAGATAAAATCATCAGAGTGTTTTATTCTTCAATATTTTGTTTTTTCACTACACAATACATCCAGCCTTCTAAGAACTGTGAGTAATTTTAAGAAATAGTTGTGGATCCTTTCAGTACTTTGATTATCTAGATGCCGCTGAATGTCCTGAGGTTTCTGAGGAAGGACTTCCTGGGATATTTCTTTCCTCTGTGTTGCCCACTTCATCACGTGACCCTTTGTAAGATTCTCCCTCTACAGGTTTAGAGTTATGTCCCCCTGACCGGACATCCTCATCACTCCCACACGCCAATGGCGACTGTTCCCGTAGCAACTGAGCAAACTTCTCGTGTGGAGGACTGTCAGGGGATTTCCCCTGCTCAGAAAATTCCTGTCGAAATAAGTTTGCGAGATGGCGGGGTGGGGAGTTACTTCCCTTGGCAGACAGAGAATTATCACAGTTATTTCCCCTTTCACCGTCACCAGAGTTTGTGAAGTTTGGTTGATGTCCACTGTTGGAATGGTCACCTCCATGATATCTCTGTAGAATTTCTCTGAGCTGGACGGAAGAACGGTCAACATTGTCCATACACATTCTAAGTTTATCTTTATGGTGAGAGGTCATAAGGTCATAGGACAGTTCTCGGACTGTCTTACACAACTGTATAGAGGCGGACACAATACTCATACAGGCCGCTGTCAAAAATAAAAGTATATCTTGCTATTATTAAAATACTTATACAGACTGCTGTCAAAAATAAAGGTATATCTAGTTATTACAAAACTCATACAGGCTGCTGTCAAAAATAAAGGTATATCTAGTTATCATTACAAAACTCATACAGGCCACTGTCAAAAGTAAAAGTATATCTAGTTATAACAATACTCATATGGATGTTTGCTAGTAAATCTTATTTGCAACCCACCAGATTGATTGACATGGTTAATAGGCCTGAAGCAACAGATGGATTGACATGGTCAACAGGCCTGAAGCAACAGATTCAAAATGGGAAGGCTAACTTCCCAAAATATCTGACAAGCAAGACAAAAAAGTAAGTAACAGTCTAAATCCTGGAATTTGCCTGTCTCGAACTTACAGCAACAAAAAGTGTTGGGTGGGTGGGGGTAGGGGGTATAACCAGCATCTAAAGGAAAATTTACTATAGAGAAATATTATACTCAGAAAAAGTAGGGGCTGCCTCATTCCTCTAAAATTGCAATAAAGATATTTTAAAGAAGTTTTAACTTCAGTTTTACAAAACTTTAAATTTTTTATATGCCTGCATTCTACTTTAAATTTCTTTTCTGCAGTCTGCTAATGCTTGCTGGCATATTTGTATTTTCAACTTTTAAAACAATTCAAATGATATAATTTTTTTATTGTGATAGGCCTGCATTCAAACTATTTTTAACATATCTTCATGTCATATTTTATTAACATATCAACTCTAAATAAAGTAATGGAAAAGCCATTTAATCAAATTTGATGAGTAAGAGAATGCATATATCCAAATTCCTTATGGACGTACCATACATAATAATACAAAGTCCTTAAGAGAGAGTTCTACAGCTAAGGAGGTTTCTGAAGGTTTGTAAGTGTTATATCTCCCCTACTTAACAATGGGTGTGGTCCGAAATCTACACAATCTACTGAAGCGCTGTTACTGGGTGGAGCCATTTCTTGTCAAGAACTCAAACACAGGAGAGTCAGTATGGAGAACTTCCCTATGGGAGACTTGATGTTCACTTATTACTGTATTATAGCTATTATGATTATATTGTAATTGCTGCAGAATTGCCAAAATAGAACGGTGTATTTAAAATATATTAATTGTTGTCAATTGATGCTTTAAAATTTATTTTAAACTGTAGTGAATAATTTTTTATCAACATAAAATTTCCCCCTTGAAATCAGAAGACCTTGCACTTTGGAATTTAACTAATAATGACATTAAAAAAATAAATGAAGGAATGAAAAAAAAAGTAATATTAGAAACTAGTGCTTAAAAAGATCTCTTTTGAACATGTTGAAAGGATAAAGCACAATTAAACAGTTTTATAGATGTTTTTAAAAAAATATTACTGACATTCAAATAAGAATGCTTTATAGTTATGAAAAATTTAATAAATGTAACTGATCTTCCATCAAAACCTTCATGAATACATGTGCAATACCAGAGCTCTATTTTACATCACACAAAATCTCAAAATTAGACCTAATATATACATGAAACTCACTCAAAGTGCTCAACAGAGTCCCCTAAATTGAGCATGATGAGTGAAAAAAAAAATTTTTTTTTGAACTTTTTTTTTAAACTGTCAATTTGAAGGATACATGCTAAATAAGCACCTACAAAAGGCTATGTTCTAATCATGTCTATCTAAATGTACCGGTAGATTTATGTACAGGTAAATTTGGACCACACCCTTGATCATCTCTGGCTGACATGAATTTTAATAGCTGGCCTCCATTATTCAGGAAATTTGTGACATTATTTCTAACTCATATTTCATTTCAAATTGACTTTCAAATTTTACAATGATAGATTGGGGAGGGGTAAATTTTTACTCCAAAGGACATTCACAGCCCAGCTGTGGTTTAAAGTGAGATGATATTTATTTAATAGAACAATATCTACCCATACTAGATATAGTGAGAGTTATTTTTCCATCAAATGACATCATCCACTGCTGATAGCCAGAACTCTGAACAATATTCAAGTTTTATCGGTGCTACGTGTAATCAATTTTTACTATTAATTCTAGTAGTTATAGAATGGGAGAATTATAGTATTAATCTAGACACAGCAATATTTATATACCACAGTCAGATCAAGTATGGAGAGCCCCCCCCCCCCCCCAAAAAAAAAGAAAGAGGAAAAAGAGAGCAGAAAGAAGGAGAAATCTTTCCCCCTTTCCACCAATTTTCCAAGAGAGAAGAAAGAGACAGGAAAAAGAGAGAAGAGGGAGGAAATCTGTTTCTATATAGACAGATAAGCATGATAAGACTACATTTTCTTTCCTAAAATATATATGTACTCATTCATCATGTTCATTTTTTTTTTTATCCACCCATATGTATGATTAAAGTTTTTTTTTTATCATTTTAATGCATTGGTAATATAAAAACTTTTAAAGGCATTCAATTTTCTACTAAAAGTAAGCAATCATTAAATAACTAATTTAAAAAATAAAAATTAAACTTTTACATGTTTTACTTAATATCAAAACACATACCGTTATATAGAAAAATCATGCAAACATGTCATAATAAAAACATTCCAGGTATCTTTACAATAGAATAAAAAATAAATTCCTAGGTTATCAACAAGCCAAGGATATGAATTCATATGAATTAAAAAGTTTATTTCATATGACCTTAATGACCTCAGGACAAGTCACTTTCCCAGTAACTCATTTTTCTTTGAGATACTTGAATCTTCTTACCATTTAACAAAGGGTCCTTATTTCCCAGGCGGAATACTAGGTCATTTTTTGTCACTTTAATATATATAATATAGAAATTGGTAACTTTGAAAATCCCAGGGGAGGGAGGTGAATCCCCCAGAACAACACATGGAACATGTAGAAATGTGGAAAAAGTGTAAATATCCATTGAATTCAGGTCCTGTAAAAGCTAGGACTCTGTCGAACTCTTTTTTATCACCAAAACTTTGGCAAAAATTTCCAAATAAGAAGCAGATTGAATTTTCCAGTGCTTTTTAAAAATACAAAAGCCTGAATTTTGAGATTATAGTAATAAAGATGTAAATAGTGAAGAACCCTAGAATCTAACTCTTTGATATACAGACAGTTAAACATAACAAAAGTCTATCAATATTACCAAATTTTGCAATTTTTTTCAATTTTTAATTTCCAACTGAAAGGATACATGATGCTCTACCAAAAAGAGTCAATTAAGCCTTAGATCTGAAAGTTAAGCATGGTAAAGAGGAGTAACTATGGTGAGGGGGTTCTTCCCTATGGAGGATACAAGTCACACACTGTACACATTATTTAATGTTTGGTTGTTAGTACAGGAATTAATGTTGCAAAAAAAAACAAGAGGCCCATGGGCCACATCGCTCACCTGAGTAACTTTGGCCATGCTGTTCTTTACCAGATTTCCCCCTTTTAATATACCTATTGTGGCCCCGCCCTACCCCTGGGGTCATGATTTGAACAATTTAGAATCCACACTACCCCAGGATGCTTCCATATAAGTTTCAGCTTTTCTGGCCCAGTGGTTCTTGAGAAGAAGATTTTTTAAGATTTTTCTTATATATTTCAATGTAAAACTTGGATTCCCTATTGTGGCCCCGCCCTACCCCCGGGGGTCATGATTTGAACAATTTAGAATCTACACTACCCCAGGTTGCTTCCATTTAAGTTTCAGCTTTTCTGGCCCAGTGGTTCTTGAGAAGAAGATTTTTAAAGATTTTTCCTATATATTTCAATGTAAAACTTGGATTCCCTATTGTGGCCCCGCCCTACCCCCGGGAGTCATGATCTGAACAATTTAGAATCTACACTACCCCAGGATGCTTCCATATAAGTTTCAGCTTTTCTGGCCCAGTGGTTCTTGAGAAGAAGATTTTTTAAGATTTTTCCTATATATTTCAATGTAAAACTTGGATTCCCTATTGTGGCCCCGCCCTACCCCCGGGGGTCATGATCTGAACAATTTAGAATCTACACTACCCCAGGATGCTTCCATATAAGTTTCAGCTTTTCTGGCCCAGTGGTTCTTGAGAAGAAGATTTTTTAATGACCCCACCCTATTTTTGTCTTCTCTTGATTATCTCCCCTTGTGAGGGGACTTGGCCCTTCATTTTAACAATTTAAATTCCCCTTCACCCAAGGATGCTTTGTACCAAGTTTGGTCAAAATTGGCCCAGTGGTTCTTGAGAAGAAGTCAAAAATGTGAAAAGTTTACAGACGGACGGACAGACAGACAGACGGACAGACAGACGGACGGACGGACGACGGACAAAATGTGATCAGAAAAGCTCACTTGAGCCTTCGGCTCAGGTGAGCTAAAAATGCATAATCCACGTAACTGTGTTATGTAAATTTTTTCTGCAATACCTGCGATGTTAATTCTTGCATTAACAAAAATAGAAGGAAAAGAAAGCAATGTTATTGTTTATATTTCTGTCACAGGTGGTGAAAAATCAAGTCTCAACCGGGACTCGAACCCAGGGCCTCTGGCGTACCGTGCCAGTGCTCTAACCTCTGACCTATTGAGACCCGATGACTGACTTTCACGCACCTGTGAACCCGGTGACATTTCTGTATACATCATCATATAAAGTATGTTTAAGCATGTTAAATAATTTTCCTAGTATTATTGATAACATCATTGTAAGTTTCATTCATGGAAAAGCCACTGGTCAAGAAATCTACACAGTCAGGTGGCTTGTTTATTGGTAATCTACCCTGGTTTTCATAAGAAATCAAGGAGATAATATTCAGTTAATGTAAATTTATGCACATGTACATGTATATAAAATTCAACAGCTATCAATCAATACATGTAAACCTACAGACAAGATAAGTTCTAGCTCGGGGGCATAAAACTTAGTGTAGCTCACTTTTGATCTCAGTCTCACAAAAGAAATTATTTTAGTGGAAAAGTGAGACTGAGATCAAAAGTGAGTTCTTCTAAGTTTTATGGCCTCTGAGCCTGATGCTTAAAAATTAAATGTCAATCAAATTTTAATAAATCTACTTTACAGTGAACATAGTGAAACATACTAACATTTAGCTAGGTGCCAGGGACCAATTTATAATTTTGATTCATTAACATTGATTAAAAAGGTACTTTATCTGTTAAATTCCCTCAACATGTTCAATTTTAAAACTACATAGAATGAAAATCACATTGCTGTAAGCACTGAATTCATTATAGGGGTGTTAACTTTGACCATATTTCAGTGTACTACTAGTACACTAAAGTCTACAAAGTTTAGTCACCATACACTTGTACTAAATAAAGCTTTCACTGAAGTCCAAACTGTCAGTGAAATGTAATGCGATGACTGACCTACTTACCAAGAATGGACTTCTGTATATCTCTGGCTTCAGGGGTAAGTACGGCCTCTTTGCCGATGAAGTCTTCTTCTGTGGCGAAACTAACGAGAGCTTGGGCCGTTGACGTCACAGGGTCACAAAAGTTAAGAAAGCGAGAATGGTGTCGTGTATTTGGATGTGATTTGTAGGTTTTTATACTAGCTATAAGACAACCCGCGGCACAAGTCACACTCTTAACGCACAGTTTAAACTGGTCCCTCGTCCCTTCCTCTCGGACTTTCTCGTCAGCAGACTTACAAATATTTGTTAACACTGATATATGTTTAGATATATTTGAACACAAATCGATGATAAGCTGAGGTGAAAGGTCATCAATCCGAGTCTTCTTTAATCTAGTGCAACTTAATTTAATTTCTAGTCCTGCTAAGCATATAGAATATCGATCTACAAGTCCCGGTATAGCTTGACAACAATCTTTAAAAGATATTGCACAAATATAGGCAATGTGACTACATAACTCCATGAATGTTACAACAGTGGAGGAGAGTTCAGTAAGCCCCTCGCAGATTTCCACGGACTTCGTTGTAATCATGTGAACATAATTTATTACGCTCTTCATCAACGTTTTGATTGTCTTGGTGCTAGTTACAATTCGCTCACTTATCTGTGAGATCGTGGATTTGCTTGAGACGGTGTCTGTCCTGATTGGACGAGCATCACAGGATAAAATGAGGAGCTCGGCCACAGATTGTAGTGTACTGTGACATCTTTCACATGTGCCTGTCAATGTCCGAACATTGCTGTAACTCATGGTAAAATCTCATAGCTTTCAACTGTAGTAAAATGAAACATTACATAAAATGACATCAAACAGCTGATGCCATTTCTCCCCTATGGCGCCTCATAAAACACAAATAAAAAAATCAATGACGAACATCCTTGAATATTTCATAACTTCTTCCTGCAATCCTACTCGGAGCAATATTTGCAATAAATTGATGAAAACAAAAACATTTTTACGCGCAAAATTTTGAAGAAGACAGCAACGAGGTCCTCATTTCGTCGGCTTCCTCCTTTTGTGATGTATGAGTAGGCGTGGTCATTTTTCAACAGCAGGAAGTTGTTTTTTGCTGCAAATCGCATCAATATCTCGCAGCTCGCGCGATTTCCCGTTTGCCCATTTACGGTCTAAATCCATATAAAAAATAGTTCTTTTGCAATTCGTTCTTTCATTTAAGCGGTAATGTATACATCGGAAGATGAGTAAAATAATTTTTGTGATAATAAAACATGAGCCAGTAATGCTTTCGTAAAAGTTTTCATAGATATATTTGCTTGTGTTTGAACGCGTAGGAATATTTTAACCAGCACTGTGAATGATAAGGAACTACTTCCGGTTGTTTGCACAAAATCTGGAAAAATTGAACCTTTTAAGTTCACTTTGAAAGGTAAATTTAGAGTTGTGAACCGCGTAAAATACTGCAGAAGCACTCAATTATCATAACACTAGTGTACTAAATTAGTAGAAAACGGAAGTAAACAGAAAAATTATGTCTTCCGTTTCTTGCACATGTTACTTCCGTTCCCGCTTTGTTTGTGTTTGAAGTCTATATTTGTGCAATGGCTGCGTACAAAAACGATGTTCAAAATCGGGAAAGGAGTTTATTTTTTTAATTGGTGGCATAACCTTCGACAAGGTTGGAATTAATTGCATGGTTTTACCTTTGGGGTTTGGTGTTGAAGCCAAGGGCAAAGTCGGGCGAAATAACAATAAGATCTATTTAGTTCTGTATTGGTTGACAGGGCTTATTTTCATTTGTAGCAATTTAAATCCTGTAACAAATGTGTCAAAACTGAGGCAAGTTCTGTTAAGTATGAGTACTAAAAGAAAACATTTTCTGCAGATTTTCGTAAACAAGGTTAAGTCTCATATATATTCTTTCAAAAAAATCTTCAGATTTTTCCTTACGTTGTTGTTTGTATCATGTGTGAATAGTATTGGAAATACAAGACATGGCCTGCATGGTGTCAATTGCCTTCACCGTTTGCCTAGTATAAAAAAAATGACCATCAGGATTGCTAGACTGATTGTTTTTAACATTTCTTATTTTAAGTGTAACAGGAGCTTATACAGAACTGCATTAACCTCTCTAATGCATAATTCCTTTTCCAGGTTTTAAATCCAGTTCAGTCTTATAAACATTGACTCTCTGTCTGACGGTTTCTTCATGTTCACACGACACCACTTAAGCCGATGTCGGCGTCTCTAACAGAAGAGGGCTTAGACCCGGCTCTAGTGATATCGACCGTTGAGGAACAGATCATAGAGGACCAGCAGGCGGCTAAGGAAATCATTCTGTGTCCCGAAATACAGTTTGTACAACAGAAATCACAGGTATCAAATAAAGTAAACAAACTAATATTACCTGGAGTATTTGAATTATAAATCAAAGCTTTACTTTGGAATATGGATGATATCAGTTTTATGTTTATATGGTTCAATTCGTAATCAAAAAAAATAAAGTTCTTATTTTTTACCTGCATGAGGAATTTTGTGTTTGACCTTTTCAGTTTTTTTTTGACAGCCAGCCAAGGAGAAAGATATTGTAATATTTCCTAAGTCCCGGCAGTACTACGCTAAAATGTCATTGGTTGATCTCGGAAAACGTCTCCTGGAGGCAGCCAAGCGAGGGGAAACGGACGACGTCCGTACACTGATGTCCAATGGGGCACCCTTTACCACAGACTGGGTAATCTATCACATAGGATTTATATGGACATAATTCGTGTATAAAATTTCATAAAACTGAATAATTTATAATAAAGTTTGATAAAACTTATTAATAATTTGATTATTTTACGTAACACAGTGTATGAGCAAGTTAAATATATATGTCATTATAGACAAGTTTGAAGTGATGTTCATATATTAAGGTTCTAACTGATCCTTAAATAAGTATGTTAATTTTTTTTTCCTTTTTGAAAGCTTGGGACTTCCCCTTTACATTTCGCCTCCCAGTACGGTCACATTGAGACAGCTGAGGTACTTTTACGAGCGGGTATTAGTCGTGATGCTAGAACTAAAGTAGATAGGACCCCCCTCCATGTGGCATCACAGGAGGGCCACTCTGACATCGTGGAACTTTTGGTCCAGCACGCAGCTGATGTCGACGCCAAAGACATGGTGTGTAAAATTATGTGCTGCTTTAATTATTTCTGTTAAAACCTCTCTAATTATTTACTACTTGCATAAGATTTAGTTTGGAATAATAATAATATAAAAAAAATTGTAGGTTTTATATACAAGTAAAATCAACTGTAGGAGGTTTTGTTACACTGACAGGTTGAAAGTTTGAGGATTTCGTTATTGTAGAACTTAGAGAAATTTGTTGATTAAATACCTTAACTTCTTTTAGTATTTTATACATATATTTCTCTTTAGTGATAATGAAAAATTCATTAAGTGGAAATACTGATGTTTGAAAGTTTGATAAATTTATCATATTCTCACTTTTACTGAACATTTTTATGAAAAAATTGAATTTTTGGAGCATTTAATTTTTTTTTTAATAAAAAAAAAAAAACAAAGCACCCTTTTAAATTCAAGTCTTGTGTGATTTGATATCAGTTAAAGATGACTCCTCTACACTGGGCCACAGAGAAGGGACACGCCCACGTAATGGAGGCCCTGATAAAGCATGGAGCTGATACGACGTGTGAAAACAAGGTGAGCATTTAGTTATCCTAGATGTTAAGTCTCTAGTTATCCATATGGTTAACTATTACTGATAAAGCATGGAGCTGATACAACGTGTGAAAACAAGGTGAGCGCTTAGTTATCCTAAATGTTAAGTCTCTAATTATCCATATGGTTAACTAGATAAAGCATGGAGCTGATACGACGTGTGAAAACAAGGTGAGCTCTTAGTAATCCTAGATGTTAAGTCTCTAATTATCCATATGGTTAACTAGATAAAGCATGGAGCTGATACGACATATGAAAACAAGGTGAGCGTTTAGTTATCCTAGCTGTTAAATCTATAGTTATCCATATGGTTAACTATTACAGATAAAACATGTAGCTGATACGACGTATGAAAACATGGTGAGCATTTAGTTATCCTAGTTGTTAATTTTCTAGTTATCCATATGGTTAACTATTAAGTGATAAAGCATGGAGCTGATACGACGTGTAAAAAGAAGGTGAGCGTTTAGTTATCCTAGCTGTTAAGTCTCTAGTTATCCATATGGTTAACTATTACTGATAAAACATGGAGCTGATACAACTTGTGAAAAGGTCAGTGTGTTAATTCATCCAGACTGTTAAGTGTTTAATGATCAATATGATGATTAAATGTTACTGATAAAGCATGAAGCTGACAGGACGTGTGAAAACAAGGTAAGTGATTTGTTATCCATAGGATTATTTGTGAATCCTGATGGAGGCCCCAATAAAGCATGGAGATGATACAACATGTGTAAACAAGGTCATTTTTTAATCATCCTGTTTGTTAATTCTCTATTTATCTGTACGATTAACTTTTATTGATAAAGCATTGAGCCTGACAAAAAATTTGAAAACAAGGTGTGTGTTTAGTCAGTCTCAGTTATCCATATGATCAGCTGTTAGTGAAGTGGTTAATCCATAGTTATCCTTTTCATGAGTCAATGTATTTGGTTAAACATGAAGGGAGCATCCTCTGTCTTTGAGAAAATTTCAAAACCAGACTAACTATCTGTTTTTAGTCCCTTCAATAAATTGTAAGAGTCAGTGTATAATTTGACAATAATAGAATCCGTGTAGATTATATTTTGTCTTTTGACAAAATCCCTGTACTTTGTTGTGATATATTTGCAGTTTGATAGGACCCCTCTAGACATTGCTATAGCCAATGGGAGAGCAGATCTGGTACAGATTCTTCAGCTAGCCCAGGTATTACTTTATCTGCATTGTAATGTTTTAGTGTTACCAATAACTAAGTAATATCAAATGTACAATATGCATTTGTTATTTACACTCTCATAAACACAGAATGATATAAATATGTCATTTAATTTATTTACAGCACACACATATTGGGAGCATGGGTGATGATGAAACAGTTACCATAGAAACTACAGAGGTGGATCCAGAAAATGTAGAAGAAACAGTTACAGTGTCTTCAGACTTAGATGGGGTCAAACAAGGTAATGCTGGGATTGGGGGATGGGGGGGGGGGGGGCAGGGCTCGACATTAACTTTTTTCCCTACTTGTCCATTTTGACAAGTGACCAAGACATTTACTTGTCCGAAAATTTTTCAATAAAGATCAAATACTTTCAACTGGAAAACTAAAAATAAATGCTGTTAACATAAAACAGAATTCAAACTTCGTAAGTTCCAGTTGCATTTGCAGTAGTATGCAATTAGTGAACTTCGATCCCAATGGAGTGTACTCAATTACATAGTGATCCATATCGGGATGGAAGTTTGGCTTTTATGTACTGTTTCCGTCTTAAAGTACCGGTAAACTTTCAACAGTCATTCTTTTAAATATTTAGAGACTTCTTTACATTAAAATGTACTTGTCCAATTGGACAAGTGCCCAGCAATATTCACTTGTCCATAATTTTTTTTCACTGGTAGCTGACAAGCGTTAATGTTGAGTCCTGGGGGTGGAAGAGGAGAGGTAAATTTGGGGTTTCAAAAATAGCTAACATGGTTACTTGAAGCTCACAAATCAGTGCTCTAAAAACTGGACCATAAAAAAAAAATCTTCAGTTCTGATGATGCAATGGAGAGTGTGTTTGTTAATGGTAGTGTTTATTTTTAGATGGACAGGACCAGACAAACTCCTCAGTACTAGCGACACTAGCAGCTCTAGCTGAAGCCACAGCTCCCAGCAGCAGTGCTCAAGGTAAGGGCATTGTCATTGTAAAGAGGGTGAGTCTCAAAGTGGGGGGGATGCTCCCAGGAGAAATGCTCAGGGTAAGGGTGGGCTTTGTCATTGTAAAGAAAGTATATCTCAAAGGAGGGGGGCATGCTCCCAGCAGCAGTCCTCAGGATAAGGTAAGGACATCATCATTGTAAAAAGAGGTCATTTAGGAGGTAGATGGGAGAAGGTACAAAGTTTATCATTTAAGTATTGAATGAATTAGCATAAAATGTCGTTGCTTCCAGACCATAAAGTTTAAGGGAAAAGTTATACATAAAAAGGAAAATAATGTTAATATAGTGCCTAGATCATTTGTGTCCTTATTCATGAATATAACTGAAATGTGATTTATAGACCAATGTACAATATAATATACATAAAGATTCTGATAGAGTTTTATACATGAGTGGGCAAAAATAGGTTGTAACCCATGTTTGCTCTACATTTCTGATTTCATTGAACTAAATAGATATAGTGAGTGTGTTTCTCAGGAGAATTGCAATTCTGTAATTTTCATTTAACAAACTGATTTTGGTGACTAATGTAACACAATGAATTTTTAGTGACAACTGCCAACACAGATGCCATGTCGTGGTTAGAGAGTCAGGGTATCACAATGATTACCACGACGGAGGGTGGGATCATATCCTCAGCCATGGAGAGTGGGCAGTCTATAGCTCTCACAGGTAAATATATCACAGAGTCTGAGGGCAGAATACATGTCCCAGCCAAAGAGAGTAGGCATTCCATTGTTCTGACAGATAAATATTACACAGTGGAGAATTGTAGTATTGGCAATAAATATTTTATTACTATGTTTCTATTTATAGAAGCTGGAAAGATTGCTTTGACCAACATAATCAAACAGCAGGGCCTATCAGCTGGAACTCTTATTACCCAGGATGCCGTTCTAGCTGATGACGCCATAGTTACAGATGATACAGTGGTGACCCAGGAGTCAGCTATCTTAGGACCTGGCGAGGTGATGGAGGGAGATGTAGAGCAAGGACTCGTAGAAGGGGAGGAAAATCAGGTCAGTGCCAGACTCAGGCAGAGTTGTCTGTCTTTGTTGTGTTGCCTGCATGGCAGACATCTAGGTATTACTTTGTCCTTTGCCTGTCCCTCTCTGTAAGTGTCTAAAACATCAAACTATTTCAAAAAAGTCAAAAGAGTGGACATCTTCATTCAAGCTGCATAGTTATTATTATTTACGTAAGGTAACACCCAAGATCAAGGTTAATTAGAAACTCAACTGTCCAATGATTTGTTCATGTATGTACTAAAACTGATTTTTGAAACCATATTTATTTGAATATAAGAAGATGTGAAATGTTATTGAATTAATTCTCAAAATTATGATTTTATTTAAAACATTCTCCTTATAGAAGATTACATGGCAAGGTAGAAATTTAAAAAAAAAAATATGGCGAAGGAAAATAAATGACTTCAATTTCAAATCTGTTTAACTTAAGAATTGATAGAAACATAAATAAAAAGAAAGAAAACAACAAAGAAGAGATTTATAGCAATAAATAATTTCTTTCTTTACTGTAGAAGGTGATTACGATTGTCGCTGCCCCTGGCCTTGACCCAGATCAGGAGGGACTGGGAGAGGTCATGACCTCAGAAAGCATGGTGATGGGATCAGGGGATGCTACTGATGAACAGCTAGGTAAGTACTTAGTTCTATGTGGGTTAAGTGTGAAATATAGTTTTGTTTGGTGACTGGCAAATCATTGAAAAAGTACCTACATATAGTCTTAAATGAGTGTAGGATATACATGTATATTTGACATCACAGAAATTCTCTGTAAAGTTTTAGAAATGAAAAATGTTCTTAAATTGAAAAGAATATAAGAAAAGAATCTAGATGCTGATAATCAAACTAAATCAATAATTAGGATTTCTTTTTTCTGTGTATCTGAAGAGATGTTCATGAGAGAGATAGAAGGCATTGTTGTTTGTTTGTTTTTTTTTTTTTAGTATACTTTGGTATATACTGTAGTTTTTGTAACTTTCTTCAGAATCCCCAGAGGAACCTCCCATGAAGAAAATGAAGTCTGAAGCAATAGAAGAAGAGGATACAAGTATATACACAAACCCTATAGAGAAGGACACAGAGGAGGTAAATAGAATAGCCAACAAAATATATGTAAACACAAACCCTATACAAAAGGATACAGAGGAGGTAAATAAAATAGCCAACAAAATGTATGTATACACAAACCCCATAGAAAAGGATACAGAGGAGGTAAATAGAATAGCCTGTACAAAGGGAGGTAAATAGAATAACCAGCAAAGTATACACATAAACCCTATAGAGAAGATACAGAGGAGGTAAATAGAATACCCTCTACAAGGGGAGGTAAATAGAATAACCAGCAAAGTATGTACATAAAATTCAGAGACTAAAAGGGGAGGTAAACAGAATAACCAGCAAAGTATATACACAAACCCTATAGAGAAGGATACAGAGGAGGTAAAAAGAATAGCAGAGAAAGACATGGGGGGAGGGGGGGGGGAGTAAATAGCATATAAAATAGAGGAAGACAAAGGGGAGGTAGAGATACATGTACAATAGAATATCCCATAGAAAAGAGATAAATAGAATACCACAAAGAGTAAGACACTGGGGAGGTAAATAGAATACCACAGAGTAAGACACAGGGGAGGTAAATAGAATACCACAAAAAGTAAGACACTTGGGAGGTTAATAGAATGACCAATCAAGAAAAAAAATAGATAGATAAATTTAATACCCCATAGAGAAATAAAGAGAACATTTCATAGGATGCTATCTAGTGTCTAGAATAAGATGGTTTCCCAAGCAATGTTCTGGAATAAAGTTTATATGAAAGTTGATGTAAAATCTACTAACAGGCTTTCAAATATGGTTATTACTGTAAATTAATTTTTATTTGCGAGAACTTTATATTTATTTAATTAAGCAAAGCTGACTGCTGGCGGAAATTTAATTCTCACATGTAATTGTTATTAAAGGTTATGGAGAACAGAAACCAAAATTCATGAAAATTTTGTCTTGCTTATTAATACAATATTACCATTTTGCAAAAATAAGGTCTCTCTAAAATAAGGTCTTGTGAAAATTTTGTAATCTTCCATACACATGTCTGCTATTCAAATTTCTTTTTGAATTGACCTTGTAGGGAGTTGACCTTGACAAGGAGACCCTCCGTCGCCAGTTGGAAGAGATGCAGCGACAAGCGGAGGCATACAAACTACAGCTGCAGCAGAAAGAGGAGGAGGCCGCCGCATATAAAAAGAAACTAGACGAGAGTATCATCACAGAGGTCTCAACGGAGGAGACGTAGGGGTCAGAGGTCAAGGACATTTCAGGTTACTCAAGGATTTGTCATAAGAGACAGATGTTTGTGCTGAATAGTGTTTCTATGTATGATAAGCTGTTGATAGGAAATGTTTTACCAAAATAGTAAAGGGAGGTTACAAGACACTTGTTCATGATGTGGGTTTAGCCTTGCTTGACTATGATGTGAAATAAACCACAAATTCATTCAGAAAATGGTCATATTTTAAAAATTACAAAGGTACATGGAAATACACAAATTTGAAGAAAAGAAATTCATTGGCAACTTTGTAAAAAAAAAAAAAAAGAAAAAATGCATTCAGGTTACTCCTGGAATATTAAAGTTTTATTGGTGAGATTATTGTGTTTCTTCCACTGAACTGAAATTCTTTTTCAGCAGTGTTCAGAACGAATCAAGTCAGAGCAAATCTGATCTCATTGTAGAACTTGTAACAATATTTTTTCAAAAGGAATGAAGTGTTTCGTATAATGATGAGTGAAAATATGACTGAATTGAAAGGTAAGGAGGAATTGAAGTGTATAGGAGATGTGGACAACAGTTAACTTTATTTGTCATCTGTACATTTATCATTGTTACCGATTATATCATGTTTTCATTGGAAATGACATCATTTACAATTTATACTTTTAATGTGTCAATATTTTAAATTCTTCTTCTACATTGTCAATCTCTTATTTTTGATTTGACAATAAATGAGAGATTTGGAGTTTTGTTCTGTTATTTTTAGTATGTTTGAGGATTTCATATGGGGTGGCACATTTGAATGTTAATTATACTTTTCAGTGGATGTAATTAAGTGAAGTGGGAGTAAATAGCAGGTGTGGTTGGGATCTGTAATATGGTACATGTATTTCCTTCTTAGCTGTTTAATTTTCTACTTTTCTTGTGTTCAGAACATCAAACATAGAGGACTTACAAGTAGGTCACCGTGACCTCATTTTAGAAGCTGATGATGCATCGTCTCCACACAAAGAATTTGCCTAATCACTGTTGGTTGAATTTTCTTATGGAAGATGTATGGCAAATCTGAGAAAAGAATGCAATTTTGAAATTGGTTATTCATAGTCAACTGTTCTTGAAGTTGTATGAGCCTTCATCAAATGTATGGATTAATGTATTTCTTAGAAGTGTATTACAATAAAGAAAAATGTTACAAAGCTTCAATAAGTTAAACACCTTTTATGATGTTCTGACTTGATCACAATTTTGAGATTCACTAGGGTCCTTTCTGGCATTGTAAAATTCTTTAAAAATCAAAACTTCAATTTTAGCTTGCAACACTTGACAACATTCTTGGATCTAAGATCTGTTGAATATACTCAAATACAACAGTTTTTTGTAGAATTTAAGAACTTTGCAATTTCAAGAAACCTGTCTTCTAATTCGAAGACTCTCAGACAGAACTTTCTATTATGCAATGAAAGCAAACATCTTTGAAATTATTCATAAAGTGAAATTAATTCTTAAAAATCATTTATGCTAGAACAGTTATTTCATATGTAACTTAATACGATTTTGATTGGTAAACAAGCCAGATGTATTTACACAAACCTGACTGAAGCCGGGGATTAATAATGTGATGTCACAATGAATATGAAATTATTGTGTTATTTTTCTTATTCAAATTTCATCAAAAGATTGTTGAAGGTGAACACGACTTGTAAATAGCCATACACCATATTAGTTTTCCTATCTCCAATATCAGCAGTGGGGTATATCCTTCACATTCGTTACAACTGATTGCAGGGTTTGACATTACGGCACGTCCGACCAACCCAGTCTACTAAATGAGTGGTCCGGTCATGTAAAATGTACTTGAATTAGACCGACTGGTTGTGTTGATGAAATAACTGTTGGAGTCCCATTTCAATGTTCAAATAAATAATCTAATTACTTTTAAAGAAATTTTCTTCTTTCTTCGAAGCTATTGCTGTATGAAGGAGAAAAAAATCCCAGGATAAGACAATCACTATTTTAGCCGGGGCTGTAACTGGCAAGTCAGTCGCAACTACTGTCGTTCAGTATCAATATGGTTAAAATAGTTACATATAATAGAGTTTTAAATTTATTAATATTTACGATAATTATTTTATTTAATTCATCAATGTTCTTTAAAGCTATAGTACTAGAATGTCCCGATGAACCAAATTCTCGATTGTAAGAAATAAATTTGCATGTTTGGTGAGGTCTAGTAGGTTCATGGTCAGGGCTAGTAAAAATTATCGGAAGTAGCCCGATTAGTCTAGTACTTATAAAAGTTAATGTCAAACCCTGGATTGCTTTCTTGACACAGGTACCTGCATGGAATGGATAACCCTTGTTCGTGTTGGTTACCTTACATTACTTTGTTTACACTTTACTACAGTTTACATGTATTTGTGTTTGTTTGTATACTGAACTGACCTGTGCAAGTGTTGCATTTCTTTGGTAACTTTTTCTCCTGTCGTTGAAGAAGCACACATTTACTAGCCTAACAAATGTTTAATGATAGCTATGTAGCACATGTCTGTCTACACAGGTGAAAACAAATTACACTGAAGCGTGACTAAGTGAACAGCTTATATAGGGGACTCAGATATAAAGAGAGAATAAAAGAATGTGGCAGACATACTCCCTTTACACATCATGTTCAGCTTTAATACCTACATGTACATGTTGAATAAGTAAGACACAAATACTCTGTTTTCAACAACTTTTTATTTTGGGTTCATAAATGCTGACAACACATACTGTATGAACAAATGGTACAATCTGAAGTGCAGTTAGAAATGGAACATTTAAAACAATTCTGACAATGTAAGAGTAGTAAATCTATTACGGTCTATGCACTCAAATTAAAAAAGATTAAAAAAATTAATTCTTGTTTTTAGATGAAAGTATATGCATTAAAAAGTCAACTAAGTTCTAAAAATTAAAATAATTTTCTAATTTGTCGATTGATTGACATTATAGAAAGCAAGTTTGTCAAAATCTTAACTCCATGGATACTGCTACAATTAAATCTTTGTCACAATGATCAATGCAGTAAAATCAGTATACATGTATTTCTATGAGTATTTAATTTTTTGATTTTTTTAGATTTCTCTCCCATTACAACCTCACTACAGCCCGGCCAAAACGTGTCACGTAACACCCTAGAGATGAAGTCATAATCACCTATACCCTCAAGGGACCAAGTCAAGGTCCCCCAAACTGTCACCTGGTAACACCCCAAGGTCCCCCACACTGTCACCTGAGGCCTGTTCAACAGAGCGAATATTCACGAGCGCTCGCCAAAATTCCTTATACCTCCAACAGAGCGAGCGCTGTTGAACAGGCCTCTGGTAACACCCTAAGGTCCCCAACACTGTCACATGGTAATACCCTTAGGGGCATGTCATGGTATCCTTTAAGACTCACTGGATCTATTACTATGTTATACCACTACAGAGTTTATGAAGTCACAGCTACCCATACCCCCATAGGGACCAAGTGAGTGTTTCCCGCTAACACCTTGTCACACCCCTTGGGAGCCTTCATGGTCTCCATCTAGGTTATACCACTACATGGTGGCTCAAAGAACCTGCTATAAATGGTAACCCACCCCTCCTTTTATGATGAACACACAAATTAGTGAGGCTAACCAACAAACAAAGCCAACCTTTGTGACTTACTGTGCACCAAAACAAACCATTTAAAATGTGCTAAGTAACTATACACTACAAACTAGAGGTTCTGTGAGCGAGCTCACAAAATGATATCCCCTGCCACAATTTTTTTAAAAGTGCCCATTCTTATTTTGTAAATGTGACCTTGAACTTGCCAAAAATACCTTGGTTAAAAAAAATGACACATCCTCTGGTCATTAGTAATCTTTCAGTGAAATATGGACATGCAATGTTTCTCTATAAATTTTTTTTAGACCTGTTATGAATTTTACACTTTAAATACCAGTGACCTTGAAATTGCCAAAATGACCTTGGGTCAAGGTCATGACATAATCAGGTCATAATTAATCTCTGTACCAAGTATGAGCTTCCAATGATTCTCACTTAAAGTTATAGCCCAGACAATAGTTTTGTACTTTTTCTGCCAGTGACCTTGAACTCGCCAGAATGAACTTAGGTCAAGGTTAAGGCACATCTTGCGTCATTAGCAATCCCTGTACCAAGTATGACTTTCCAGCGATTCTCCATTACATAGTAATAGCCCGAACAAGATTGCACGGACAAACAGACAAGGTGATTCCTATATACCCCCCAAAACTTCATTTGCAGGGGAAATAATCAAGAATGTTTCACATCATACAAATATACAGTATATACACTATAGGGAGAAAATCACTAAAAATCTATTTTATTTTCCACTTTGATCATGATGACATCCTAGCAAGTTTATCGTACATGAGTAACTGTACTAAAATTATTCACTTGTATCATCTGTCCTAGTGCATCCAGTGACAAATTTAATACACTGGTCAAGTCTGAAGGAATTGAATACAGGACAAGGAGATCATTTCATTTATGTTTTTTTTTTTTTAATTTTTTTTATTTTGAATAATAAATCATTAATATAATGATTTTTTCTTAGATATACTTCAACCTTATAGAGTGGGATTGTATGAGATATGGTGGTGTATAATGAATTTTTGAATAAATTTTTCCCTGTTTGTTTCTACATTACAATAAATATAATATTAGAAGAAAGTATGAAATGAAGCAAATTCCATAAAAATTAAAAATTCAAGAACCGTAGCACTGTTAAGAGTGACTTTTAAAAAATTACCCTCCTGCACTTTCTAGGTCCAGCAAATGAATCTTATTTATACCTACAAGGATTTGAAGAACTGAATCTTCACTTTCAAAGGTAATTAAGTTATAGATATTTAAGTAAATTTGTTCACCTTAAAAGTTATGAGGGAGGGGGGAGGGTAGAAAATAAATCCCAAAAGACCTGGGAGACAGATAGGTCAGTTGACAGGTGCCCCCAAAATGGTTGGACTTCAGAAAAGGGAGGGGGGGGGGGGCAATAAAAATACCTTTGTGTAAATTCTGAGACCTGATAACCATTGCATTTTATGTTGCAAAAATCTTATTACATACACATGATATAAACAATGCAGAAATATACTCACATGATGGAGTAAACTTTTGTGCACAAAAAAGCAGTGCACAATAGACTGTACATGACTTGTTATAGTTCATACTGAATATAGTCTGTGTTAATTTTAATATGATATAGATTATTTTAGTTGTAATTTTAAGACTTACACAAATAAGATTTTCTTTATTTCCCCTTTCTGACTATAATAAAACATGACAGGAAAAAAAAATAAATACTGTAAAACTTGTTTAGTATGAACATAGATAGAGCAAAAATATGACAATTGGTCATCAGAATACATTCTCACTCATTCTAACTCCAAGTAAAACCTCTTAGAGCTGGATTCAAAGTTTCAAGTCATTACCAAGTACAATCAAGTAGAACAATTCCAGAATCCATATTAAGTTTAGATGTAATCAAACACAGCATCAGTTCATGCCTCATATAAAATACAATGATGTGATGAACCATACTTCCAGTCATTATATAAAACTGTAAAGCAACGGGATAATCTGATAGTGAGTCACTGGGAAAACATATCACAAGACTGGGTAAGATGAAGTTAACACTGGGAATAAATACAATCAGGAAAATAAGGGAATCGTATAACACAGACTTCTGTATAAGCTGACAATACTGTACACTGTACACTGGGAAATACAGTTAAAGCTCACTATATCAAACACTGATAAGTCAAACCCTCGGATACAGGAAACATTTCTGACAGTAGTGTCTGTTCAATACATCAATGTTTGACTGTAAATAATAAATGACTGTAAGTTATAAGGGAAGTGTACAATACAGGTTTATAGCTTAACCTGACAATACTGTATTTGTGAACTTCACTACCTTGAACACTGGGTTCCTTTGTGACAGTGGCTTGTCATGTTCAAGGTATTGAGGTCTGACTGTAAAAAATGATGACAGAGGTATACCACAGACTTAAGCTAACAATACTGGAATTGTACAATACATGGAGGAGATACACAAAACAAATGGGATTATCATCAACCAAAAACAAAATGTTACAGATACATACTAGGTACACTCTGATTAGCTTTTACAACTATGGTCCAAAATTAAAAATCTTAAATACGAACGAAAAGTTTAAAAACAAATATATAGGTGACACAGATACACACAACATAAAATATTTGTAGAATATATACAGTAAAATATTGACCTTTGTAAACATAAAAATTGAATTTTAAAAATTGCCTCTGGTCTAAATTAAAAAAAAAGAGTAAAAATCATAATCATGATTGGCACTTAAGGCTTACAACTAAAAACGAAATAAAATAGACAAGCTATATTTGGATCAACTAGAGGTCATTGAAGGATATAAAACAACCCAATTCTCTATCTGTAGAACTTCTAAACATTTCAGAATTCAATCTATGTATGATCAATCTTCTTGTTTATTCAGTGAATAATTTCCAATAAACAGACACCGATTCCCAGTGGATTAGGAATGTTACATTTTTAGACCTGAATATTTGTTTTTCTTGTCTTGAAACAGAACTGTATAAAAAGTTTAAATAGGTTACATCACTCAGTATCGATCACAGGATAAACAATACACAGTGTTTATATCACAATAGAATGACCACAGAATCAAAAAAAAAAAAAAAACTTGGATGCATTTTTTTTTAATAAACTTGGTAAAATGTCATTTGGTCTTGTCACTTTTTAGTATTAATTAATTCATCCTAATATAAGAATACTGCCAAGAAAAACTTCCTATGATAAATATGATGGGGATTTATCTAAACTCCTCAGTTTAACCCCAATCTCAAAAAAAGAGTAATGTAAGCATGTTATAAAAGCATACTATTAAAATAAAAATGTGCCTGTTTTCTTCATCAATTCCTTCCCAATATTTTTTTTGAGCATTATAAAAGTAAGATTGACTCTTGTTAAGAGGTGGGATCCTTAAGTACAGTCTCTGTGTAAATCACTGATTAGGAGCTAATTTACTCCGTCATCAAACCTGACTGAACAGTTCCTTCATCTCGACAAACGTCTGGAATAGTTGGTCCATAAACACCGTGGAGTCGGTGCTTTTGGTTGACTTTTTGGAGGATACATGGAAAAATACCTTGTGGTCCCCGGGAATCATATAGGACACGCCATAACCGTCGTCTGACACCGGGCCAAAACCACCCCCTGGACACAGCTGAAAATAGAACAAAATTAAAAGTATAACAGGTAAGGAGAAAAAATGCATTGGACAAGACCAGGATTTGATTCAGGAGCCCCTGAATAAGTAGTCAGTGCTCTATGAACTGAGCTATCTGGCCACTGAGCCAGCCTGACCATCAAAAAAGTAGGTTTGCATATTTCCAAAAATACCTATTGTTAGATTAAGATGTTTTAAGTACAGTCAATTCTCGAATTATTGCCATTTGATTCATCGCCATTCTCTCAACAACGCCATGATTTTTCAAGAAAAATTTTCCTGCTATATAAAGTTCTCTTTATAACGTCAAATTCGCATACTGCCATCCGCCACCCTGTTTCAAAACAAACATCCATTCCAAAGTGACACTTATCTAGATAAACAGACACAGGTGCACATTAGTGAAGGGGCTGATTAATTATCGCTATCTAAATCACCATTGTAAAGCCAGACAAGGTATATGTAATTAAAGAATTAAACATCAACTGTTATTATAAATTTGTTTTCTGTTTATAAAAAAAAATTATTCAGTCATGGCTTTGCCACAAAAGCGGTTGTTTTTAAAGTTTGCCGATAACGAGATCAGTTCGAAGATCCCTACTTCAAACATTGCAAAGTTTGCTTTAAAAATAGTGATACAGTATTATTTGTGAAAATTTTAGCAACAGAGTAAATATATTTATAGGAGATGTATATATTATATACATTAGAGTATATATATTTACAGGAATTCATTTTACATTCTAGCTATGAACTATCAGAATTAGATCAGGAAGATCGACACAGCCTTTTTTTAATATCAGGCATTCAGGTGTATATGCATGAACTTGTGTACATGTATGCCTTTATATTTTAATTGACTGTGTATTTTGTTTTACAATGAAATTATTGTACATAAAACAACTATTTGAAGCATTTTCAAATCTTTAGAAATATGTTTTATATGATATTAAGAATATAAAAGCTAAATGTTTTATTTCCAAGAACGGAAACTCTATTTCTTGTTTCCCCAAAAATGGGAAATTCAATTCATCGCCAAATTCGTTTTACTGCCATGATTTCTAAATTACTAAAGGCAGCAATTTATTGAGAATTTACTGTATCATTACCAAATCATAAAAATTTGAACCCCACTACAATGTTGCATGTACATTTGATACGCTATAAACTATACTTACAGCAAATCTGTACTTATGGCATGTCTGTACTGTGTAGGTTGCTTTCTGTTGCTATATTTACGGCATGTTTGTACTGTGTAGGTTGCTTTCTGTTGCTATACTTATGGCATGTCTGTACTGTGTAGGTTGCTTTCTGTTGCTATACTTACGACATGTTTGTACTGTGTAGGTTGCTTTCTGTTGCTATACTTACGGCATGTCTGTACTGTGTAGGTTGCTTTCTGTTGCTATATTTACGGCATGTCTCTACTGTGTAGGTTGCTATTTATTGCTGAGGTTGCTATACTTGCGGCATGTCTGTATTGTGTAGGTTGCTATTTATTGCTGAGGTTGCTAAACTTACGGCATGTCTATACTGTGTAGGTTGCTATTTATTGCTGAGGTTGCTATACTTACGGCATGTCTGTACTGTGGGAGGCTGCAGTTCGGCGAGGTTGCTATCTGTTGCTGAGGTTGCTGGCTAGTTGACAAAGTCCAAGGAATTGTCAAAGCTTCCTTCAAGAACTCGCAGTCCTGTCCAAAAATAAACTTAGATATCAGAGATCAAATTAAGTCTAGCTCACAATTACTTTAAAAGTTCTGTCATCAACCTAGTACAATAGAGTCTGTTTAATAATACATAGAACTACAGTGTTTAAGAACTAAGCCAGAGAAAAAAATTTGTTTATGATTTTTTCACTATATGATAAATACATTGTTAGAATCTGTAAATACAGTGAGATATAATCAGCAATGATATGAAATATCATCAACAAAACATACCAAAGAATGAACACATATATATGAAATCCATGAAAGGCCTAGAATTTTACTGAATTATAGTATTTTTCATGCAATATTGAGATTGCTTGCTAACTGCATCAGTTTGTATAATACATTAGATGACTTACTAATTATCATCTTGGCTGAAATCAGATCACTAATTATCACTAAAAATTGACTATTGAAAAACAAACACTGTAAAACAACTTCCCTTCCTTTGCAATTAACTTTTCCAAGATTCACAAAGACGGAGAAAGAAATCGTGAAAGTTTGTCCCCATACGAGAGCAGTTTACCCTATTCTGCAGTTTTTTTCCCCATAATTTCAATGGTTTCTGTCCATAATTTGTTTTTTCATCCACAATTCTATTGTTGGCAAAAACATTTTTTGGATTTTTCTGATGTACATGTGATAATTTAGATGAGAATTTACTCTTATGTTAATATCCATTTTGTCAACATATAATCATATTTGGCAACCCTACATACATGTACATATCAGTGTAATTAAGGTTTTTAATTTGATTCCTATTATTGCTAAGATACTAATACAACATAAAACGATTTAAATTCCAGAGCATTATTAACCAGTTTTTGGAGACTAATCTGTAATCTGTATTTCATGACAAATATTCAGATATGGAATTTCCATAATAGTAAACAGCTCTGCCATGCACTATTATTCAAATGCAAAAAAAAAAAAAAAAAATCAGCTGAAAAATAGCTACCCAACATCACTACATTTAGAATAGTTATAAGACAAAACTACAAACAAAAGTAGCCACAAAGGAAAGCTTTTTTACCAGCCCATTTAGTACTTACATAGCCCATTTAGTACTTACATAACCCATTTAGTACTTACATAGCCCATTTAGTACTTACATAACCCATTTAGTACTTACATAACCCATTTAGTACTTACATAACCCATTTAGTACTTACATAACCCATGCCTTTGCTGACAACATAGAGACCAAACAGGTGTCGATCAATGGCCCGCCCACACATAGCGTCTCTATAGGCGTCCTGGTGTCTGTCACAGGCCTTTCTCAAGAGACCAATGGTCGTAGACTTAGGGACAGATTTGTCTAGAAACGCCCTACAAAATAAACATTAAATGTAGATTATAATCTATGGGTATCCTAAAGTCGCTCACACATCTTCCTTAGAAGACAAATGGTTGCGTAAACCTAGATAAATTGAATCTCCGAAAACAGCCAGCTTTGCTTCCTGTATTTCACAATTTTTATTTTCACATAATTACATGAGATTCTGCTCGCAAAGTTCTCCAAGATATTTTTATTATTAAAGATTTCATACAAAATTAACTAGAATTCATGAAAATTTTGACTCACAATATACCAATATCCATATCATGAAAATAAGGTCTTGTGAATATTTGTTGATCTTCACTGTCTACCTCATTTGATAAACACAAGAATCTTCTAAAGTTATCATTGAGTCAGTTACTCATAAATAATTTAATTCTCATTATAACGCGGTATTTGATTGGATTAAAAAATTTACTTTATATCGTATAAATTGGGTTGCCTACGTCACAATGACTTGCGTCAAAAACATATTGATCCGCCTGACGTTACATTTAAATTTTGTACAATTTGGAAGTACTTTATTTCAGGGGAATCATCTTTTTTCTTACACTAAATGAATGAAAATAAATTATAAGGAACGAAATTAATAGCTACCCAATTTATACAGTATAAAGTGGGTTGGAACAGATTTACGCTTTTTTTTATAAACTTCTTTGTGGTTTATAAAGCGTACACTGCCCCAACCCACTTTATACCGTTTAAATTGGGTAGCTTTTAAATTCATTCCATAAATAATAAGACATGATAAAACTTAATTCGAAATGAAGCCTCTGGTAACATACTTAACAAAGGCAGCCGAATCCGTGCTGAGTGTGCGAACGGTCTCTGTTCTGCCATGAAGATAAAGTCTCGTCATCGAGGACTCGTACGTCAGTGCAAACTTCCCAGCATTCTTATAGTACGTCACTTGAAGCGCCATCTGGATAAATGCGTCCGGACTCACCTGTAGTGTTTATAATACATGACCATTAGAAACAGTGTTTCAATAGATATCTTATACAATCATAACATCCAATTTCTACATTAAGTGTTTATAATATATCACCATCAGAAATAGATCAGTTGGATGTAACAACATATCACTAAATTTAGATCTCCTGTAATATTGAAGGCTATCCAGAGTAATTCTTCTTGTTTTCCTTCCAATCATCTGTACACTCCTTATTGAAGTGACCATTAAGCTTCACTCTGCCTGGTACATCCCTCTATATTCCCTATGTACCTGGTACATCTCTCTATATTCCCTATGTACCTGGTTCATCCCTCTATATTCCCTATGTACCTGGTACATCCCTCTATATTCCCTATGTACCTGGTACATCTCTTTATATTCCCTATGTACCTGGTACATCCCTCTATATTCCCTATGTACCTGGTTCATCCCTCTATATTCCCTATGTACCTGGTACATCTCTCTACATTCCCTATGTACCTGGTACATCCCTCTATATTTCCAATGTACCTGGTACATCCCTCTATATTCCCTATGTGCTTGGTACATCCCTCTACATTCCCTATGTACCTGGTACATCCCTCTATATTCCCTATATATCTGGTACATCCCTCTACATTTCCTATATACCTGGTACATCCCTCTACATTCCCTATATACCTGGTACATCCCTCAGCATTCCCTATGTACCTGGTACATCCCTCTACATTCCCTATGTACCTGGTACATCCCTCTATATTCCCTATATATCTGGTACATCCCTCTACATTTCCTATATACCTGGTACATCCCTCTACATTCCCTATATACCTGGTACATCCCTCTGCATTCCCTATGTACCTGGTACATCTCTCTATTCCCTAATATGTTCCTGGTGCATCCCTCTATTCCTTATGTACCTGGTACCTCTCTCTCTGCCTATGATTTCACCGCAACATTGACTTATGACTTACCTTACAGGACTTCATGAACCCCTTTCCATAGATGGTCAACTCCCGCAGACAAAGGTCAAGGTCATCTGAATTCTATAAATAGAGACAAAAACTCCTCAAAATTTAATTGAAATCAATTTCATCCTGAAAAGGCTTAAAAATGCACTCCTGTTTTGTTTGGTTTTAAGCTGAATTTGATAGAATGTCTCCTCTCTGCTAAGAGAAAAACAATTCTGAAATTGATAAAGAGCAAGAGTCACTTAGGGCCTTTTCTGGCCCTGTGAATTTCTGAAAATTCAAAACTGTTTAGTTTTAGTTGACAAGGCAATAAATAATACTTGAACACTTGGTGAATGAACATCTACTGAACATGACATAATTTTCTTTCTAGTCAATGCATTATGACGTCATGAATTACGTCATTATTCACATATCCTGAATATTTCTCCAAAAATGGACAAAATATGATGCCATTTTTCAAAATTTCGTATACAGCACAACCTCCGATCCAAAATGTGTAAATATATTATAAAAGAACTGTTAATGAAGATTATAAAACATATTTTAATTTTTGGATTGAGGGGTGTACTCATATTTTAATTCTTTGCTGAAGGTTCTCAAAAACACCTGTTTTCTGCAAAATTCAGTAACACTGCAATTTCACACAACCTGTTTTCCAGTCGCCCACGTGGTGCAGTGGTTAGAGCGTCTGCTCTAGAGTCGCGAAGTAAGGAGTTGATCCTTACATCGCGGGTTCGAATCCCACTGTGGGATGTGGAGACCGGTCCTTCGGATGAGACCGTATAAACCGAGGTCCCGTGTCGCAGTAGGTGCTGGCACGAAAAAGATCCCTCACTGCTCAATGGCCATAAGTGCCGAGTAAATGACAAAATTTGCAGCTCTCCATCGGCAAGTGGTGGCATCTCCATATGAGTGAAAAATTCTCGAGAGGGACGTTAAACAACAAACAAAAACCTATTTTCCAATGCCTGGACTCTTCAAAGGAAATTCTGTTATATAAAGAGAAATCACTAAGTGTCTACTTTATATTAATGTTGAAAATGGTACACAGGGTGTTAGTCAATAAATTGGTATATTGACAGGGCCATTTTATGCATTAAGTAAACCTAGCTCTTTTGAAGGAAAAAAATAATCATCTCAAATGGCTCTGTTGGCTTGAATTTCAACAGTACCTCCATCTCTTATTAGAGAGTTTTTACAATAACAGAAAAGATTTAATCTAAGAATGCAGTTTCATTTAATTTCTTAAATTTTACCATCTTGCAGACTTTCTCTGCCTCGATAATGGCCGTCCTGAGATCTGGAGTTACTTCCCATATATGTCGCGTGGGTTTGGAGAGGACATACTTTGAATCCTCAGGATTTGAAGGCAGGGATCCATCCTTAAGAAAGCCACACTCTTCTAATGCTCTGCAAAACAGAAAAAAAATCTTATCTGACTTCACAGACTCAGGTAAAATAAACATTTTATAAGTTCCTCAAAGATTTTAGAATACTCTCACAATAAAATAATTCATTATAACAGTTAGTACTTTTTGTCAACATAATCCTGTCCATGATTTCAAATTTCTTCAAACTTGTAGTAGTAGATATTTCCAGTTTACTTGGAGATATCTTGAAGAAATAATTTTATTTTGAGACAGTTCTACAGTGAAATCATCACTGTTTGTTGGGGGCCAATGTTTGGGGATTTGTGGGTAACCCTTTCTTACATTACCCATTTATGTGCTCACAAATGATATGTCTGTCAGGCTCATTAAATTCTTTGTATATGTGAGTTACCAACAACATAATATCCTCAGGAACCAGTCAAATTCTTGTTGCCCACAAACATTGACGCCCATGAAATAAAACGATTCCCAGGTATTTACAATCATAATTTAATCATTACTCACTCTGCAGTAAAGTTATACTCTAGAAGATGTGCAATGATTGGAGCGTCCGCGTAGGAGTGTTCACTGTTACAGCCCATCCTGCCGTCGGGGAAGGAGACCAAATTAAAACACTTATCGTACCACAGCTTGCCATCATTATCACACAGTAGATAGAGTCCTCTCTGTGACATTGTCTCGTATCTCTCTGTCTCCAGAGTCAGCTGAAAAATAAATCACACAGTAGATAGAGTCCTCTCTGTGACATTGTCTCGTATCTCTCTGTCTCCAGAGTCAGCTGAAAAATAAATCACACAGTAGATAGAGTCCTCTCTGTGACATTGTCTCGTATCTCTCTGTCTCCAGAGTCAGCTGAAATATAAATCACACAGTAGATATAGTCCTCTCTGTGACATTGCCTCGTATCTCTCCGTCTCCAGTGTTAGCTGAAAAATATATCAACTTTTTCTTCATTTGGTTAAATGCATCCTAGCAGTGAATAAATATTCAGTTAAGTGACACTACAGCAAAATTAAGCAGGTATCTTTTTGCTGCCTGATAAAGCTAGAAGAACTCTCTCTCTCTGTAATAATGACATTGAAAATCTTGTTCTTCATAAAAAAAAGGTCTTTTCTTTCAGACTTTGTCAGAGGCGGGGAAAGGAACAGTGTGTCACAGCTCAAACTTAGTGACATGAGCAACTCTTCTTCACCCTTCATCTCCTAACAAACATGAAACAGAGCTTTCTCCACCGAGTCAATCATTTCAATAAAGAAAATCCCAAACAGAAATCTCTCTCTTTCCCCTCTCTCTCCCTCCCTCCCCCTCTCTTTCTCCCTCTCTCTAACTTTGACATACACAGAACATGGCTTTCTCTATCATATCCATGGTCTCCCGGTTGACACCCCTAGAGAAGTGTTGATCTCGGATCCTCCACCACTTAACCCTCTCCTGTCCTGTCAAACAGGCCAGAATCTTCTCCTCTCTGGAGTAGGAATCTGTATAAAATAAATATGTTTTATCCAAAATTATTTTCTATATATAGAATCTAAGATGGTTTGTAAATGGACATGATTTTTATCTAGAGAGTTGTGTCACTGTGTTTCATATATCCCTGAGCCTTTGGCAAGGGGATAGAAAACACACATTACAACAGATTGATAAAGGGGTAAATATGGAATATTTTTTTAACATGTATTTACTATGATTATTGAAAGTGTAGACAAAAAACATGTATATCTCTATTCCTTAGATTTAAGCTAAACACTCACATCTCAGTGCAGTAGTACATGTACTTCCTTTCAATTCAAGAACTATGTTTACATTTTCTTGTAAAAATGAAATACTGTAGACGTACGTTTTTTTTCCTGTGGGATTAATTTACGCACATGGTCACAAATTTCAGTGGAAATTTGTCAGAGTGTACTAAAATTGCATTTAAGACGGAACAGATAATCTAAGAAATCAGCATATTTTTTTCTACATGTAAACTGAACAGAAATTGTGATGTTATGGTATGGTGACCATGGAAAAAAAAGTTTACAGTGTTTAAAGCAAGAGTTAATACCCTTATCTTTTTTCAACAATTTGTGTATTGTGTTTCTGTATTTAGTGTTGGAGTCAGTTCTACTAATTATTGTGATACAATAAGAGTTACCCCCCTTTACCTGTATGTTTATCAGCATTGTGTGTAATTTACTCTAGTTCTTTCTGTATTAGTGTTGGAGTCAGTTCTACAGTAATTATTGTGATACAGTAAGAGTTACCCCCCTTTACCTGTATGTTTATTATTGTCGTGTCTAGTTCTTTCTGTATTAGTGTTGGGGTCAGTTCTACAGTAATTATTGTGATACAGTAAGAGTTACCCCCCTTTACCTGTATGTTTATTTTTGTCGTGTCTAGTTCTTTCTGTATTAGTGTTGGGGTCAGTTCTACAGTAATTATTGTGATACAGTAAGAGTTACCCCCCTTTACCTGTATGTTTATTATTGTCGTGTCTAGTTCTTTCTGTATTAGTGTTGGGGTCAGTTCTATAGTAATTATTATGATACAGTAAGAGTTACTCCCCTTTACCTGTATGTTTATCAGCGTCGTGTATAATCCACTGTAGTTGTTCCTGTATCAGTGTTGGAGTCAGAAGACGCCCTTTTTTGTCAAAAACTTCTAATTTGTACAGGACACCCCTTCTCCATACTGCTATGTGCTGAAACAACCCAGAATTATACGTTGAACCATAGAAACAAATCACTATAAAGACGTACAAAAAAACTGAATTGTCAACATTTACCATGAAGAAGTACAAAAAATTTGTCAATTCTTCAAATGTGGTTATATTTGAGAACTGAAACAAATTATTATGACTTCCTTATTTTAAAAATGGAGGAAGTGGAAACTTTAAGTATTGGTCATTTGTCAATTTCAACGTTTTCACATCATCACATTTTCTCTATTTACAGTATATAGAGACAAAGGGTAGGTACTTCACATTTGAATATATCCATCACTAATGCATCAAACTGTGGATCATCAACACAACAGATGCCATGTTTTCCCCATTCCTTTACACACATAAGGGGAGATAATCATTACCTTGGAAACTGTGGAGTCATATGTCAGTAACGTATCACACTCTTCACCGGGAATTCTACAAAGTTTTAGACATTTAATTAACATACCTTTTAATCGATAATACACTGTTTCTCATATTTCATCTGCACAGACTCAAAACTTTACAATGTGTAGCAATAAAAAAACCTTATCTGCAAGATAATCTTTGTAAATATATGCCCCCCCCCCCCCCCCCCCCCCTCCTTGCTGTCACAGTCTGCCTGCTAACTTTAAAGACAATGCCAAAAGAGAGCAATGACTATAATTTTCATCAAATTTGCCACTTTTTGGTCTCAGATCAAGTTTTCTTTAAAGAAGTAAAACAAATTACATCATTCTAATTTTGTTTTGATGAAACAAGGTCCCCCAGCAATTTTCAATGAAAACTGAGAAGAAATGAAATCAGTGGACAAATTCAGGGTTCCTGTTATCTTTCTCAGATTATGAGTAAATTATCTAACATACACACAATTACCTGGTTGTAGAGAACATTCTCTCATACTGAACCATACACACAGGAATGGTCTGTCTTATTAGGAGTGGCTCCAGTGTCTCACGATCTCTCAACTGTTTAAACTTCAGTACATTGTAAACTGTGCTGGAGATCCTAAAAACACAGCAAATAAACAATTACACGTAATATCAACATCCATTGGTCAATATAAACTGTGTAGAGAAAAACAAGTTTATTAAGTTCTGCACTCATATACATTTACCTGGCTGTCTGTATAGGGGAGGGTGTCCAGTGTTCCTGGTCCAGAATGTAATAGTTACTGTTGATAGGTAGAGGGTCTCTGCTGGATAAATACACATACTTCTCCCTGTCAAAAAAAGGGTAGTACTTAATATTTACTATCAGTCAGTCATGAAATTGTTACACAAATACAGTGTCAGTTTTTTCTGTAACTACAACCTATCAGTTAAGTAATTGTTACACCACAATGATTTCAGTTTTAACCTATGTAACTTACCACCAATCAGTAACGTAATTGTTACACCACCACGACTTCAGTTTAAGTATTCTTTGTAACTTTGGTCCGAAACCTCTCTCAAAATCTTCTGCGTCTTTTTTGAGCTTGTTCCACTTTTCGACATCGTCACCATACAGGGGCTCGAGTGATTTCAGAAGCTTGGTCAGCGTGTCTCGGAGAGCGGGGACGGGCATGCGGGCGAGGGAGGACTGACAGCTGTAGAGTTTAGGGCTGTAGCCGCTGACAACCTTGACCAGTAGACCCCAGAGTATGGTGCTGACAGACTGGGTCTTAGGCTGCTCATCTGTAAACATAATACAGACATCATTGGGAATTAGAACAAAACACAGTCAATTCTTATGTTTTAAAATCATCATACTTGTACTTCCCTGTGTATTTTTTAGCATGGGTACTATTTTATATGACTTTTTTTCTAAATCAGAAATTAGATCATGGAAAAAAGTACTTAAATTTGGGCAAGTAAATTCTAAGCAAGTAAATTCTCTATGTTTTCACATTTCAATACCTCTCTACAAGTTAAAAATGTCAATTCTATTAAAAAAGACCTAAACTCTTTAGGATATTTTTAATACCCTTTATTCTCACTGACTTGAAACCAATTCAAACATTTTCTTTAAGGTTCATTGACCCCCTTAAGGTTTGTCCCCATGACGGGAGAGATAACTATCACTGGGATAACTGTCTATTTTTTAAGGAATGAATTTAAACGCGAAGCGGTTTATAAAAAAGCGTATTAACTGTTCCAACATACTTTATACAGTATAAATTGGGTAGCTATTAAATTCATTCCATATAATTTACTTTTCATTCATTTAGTGTAAGAAAAAAGATGGTTGTCCTTAAAAAAATGACTTCAAATTGTACAAAATTTTAATGTAACGTCAGGCGGATTGATACGTTTTTGATGAAAGTCATTGTGATGTAGGCAACCCAATTTATACAATATAAAGTAAATTTTTTTATCCAATCAAATTGTGCATTACAATCAGAATTAAATTATTCCTTAATAATTATAAATTTCATATGAGTGAACAGGGGATGAGAATCAAACCTTAAATGTTTCCAGTTTGTTACTTTAATTTTATTTTTCAGACTTACACATCCATCCCCTGTAAGACAGAATGCCCTTCAGTAAATATTGCCATACATAGATCTTGACTTACACATCCACCCCTGTAAGAGAGGAGGCCCCTCAGTAAATATCGCCCTACATAGATCTTGACTTACACATCCACCCCCTGTAAGACAGGAGGCCCCTCAGTAAATATTGCCCTACATAGATCATGACTTACACATCCATCCCCTGTAAGACAGGAGGCCCCTCAGTAAATATCGCCGTACGTAGATCTTGATGAGGAAGAACCAGAACCCCACAAAACAAGAAGTAATAACTGCATTCACCACTAGGGGGAGTCCTGTATTAAAGAAGAAAAAACATTTTAAACCTACAGAAAGTACTAAAATCATATACCACTTTATGGAATCCTGTATTTAAAAAAAACAAGATTGCACATGCATCAGAATGGTTAAAAAGTTTCTTCATATAAACTGCACTTTAACACAGACAATGTAGTTGCAGTTATACAGCAATTCCTGGCATATTATGATTATTATCAATAACATCTGTTTTCATAATAATGATGTAGGACTGTTTAGCAACCGCTAATGATAAAACACCGCTTAATGATAGAAATATTTAGGGCATTAAGCATTGCAATTGCAGCACTTAATGATATTTCTATCATTAAGAAGCGTTTTATCATTAGTGGTTGCTACAGGGCCGAGATAGCCATGTTGTTCACAATGTTGCACAAATTCCTGACCAGACTAGCACTGCACTCTGCAGGGAAGTTCAAAGTCAATATTTTTTTATGCAGTTGAATAACACTCATTGATATGAATCAGCATATGAAGTTTGATTAAGCATCTTAAATAGTTTCTTTGAAACTGAACTAAATGCAAATTAAAGAAAAGTGAGGTCAAGGTCAAAGGAAATGTCAAGGTCAAAGGAAATGTCAAGGTAAAAAAATATTGAAGGAGTTGAATAATTCTCACCAATATGTCTTAGCAGGTTTGATAAAAATATCTTGAATTATTATAGTTTCTTTGAAACTGAGCTGAATGCAAATCAAAAAAAAGTGAGGTCAAGGTCAAAAGGAATGTCAAGGTCAAAAATATTTTTGATGCATTTGAATAACTTACATCAATATGTTTCAGCATGTGAAGTTTGACAGCTCTCTAAAATATCCTGAATGGTTTCTTTGAAATTTAGCTTAACACAATTTTAGGAAAAGTTAGGTCTCAGTCAAACGAAAGGTCAAGGTAAAGAGTGTTGATGCAGTTGAATAGTTCTCATCAATATGTATCAGCATATGAAGTTTGATGAAAATGTCTTGAACAGTTTTTTTGAAACTAGGCTATACGCAAAGTAAGATGGAAGGACAGAGGGAAGGACTGAAGGATGGAAGATGGATGTGACAAACACTATATGCCCTGGCCATATTCATGGTTAGGCATAAAAATGACAGAGAGATTCAGTATTGTTGATATTATAGTTTACAAGACAATCACTTGAGAGATCCAAGAATTTGTGATTGACAAAATTGCCCTCTTCAATTTTAACATTTTCATATGTCATTTCTGCTACAGAACCCATATTGTTATTCTTTACAACATACTGTCTAGTACATGATACCATAGGATTCACGCACGACACTATAGAATATATGCACGATTCATGATAAACACAAAACTATAGAGTTGTTTCAAAATCAAAATCATTCTTGACAAATTGAATTGTTTCAAATAATTTTAAAACATGCAAAAGTTGCAAAACTAAATAATATTCAACATGTGCAAAAATAAATACCAGTCTTATTTTGAGGGATTAAATTCAAAATATTTTTGTCGATTACAAAATTTAATAATAAAATATGCATAAATTATATGTGCTAATGCAAATGTCAAAATCAATGTCAGATTAATAATTTCACTCAATCATTGAACATTAATCAAAAAAAGTTACAGGGTTCTCCATCATTTGAAATTTTACTGTGTTGCAGATTTTACGTGAACCACTAATATTGGCGGTATTTTCGCGATCAAATTCGAACTGAACCACTATTCAATATAATTACAAAAGCACACACACACACACACCCCCACAGCTTTTTTGAATCACCAATTTGTTACACAAATGGTATTGTCGTACACATTAATAAAAAAATAAATGAATGTAATGAAAATTTAAATGTGGACTGCACAAATATGTTGGTCCTCCTAACTTAGTTAGGAGGACTAATGTATTTGTCCAGTCCACATTCTTATATAAATATGACGTGCAATTCGTTTTTGCTTCAGCCTAATGCACGAAGTCTTTGACGAGTATCAGTACATGTAATCTTATCGTATATAAACATGATAAATAGAGTTCAACCCTTTTGTTTATTTATCTAATTAAAGTAAGTAGTCGAAATTTTTTTTCTACGTTGGGATATTTCAAGAACAACGAAATAGAAAAAAAAATCACTCGTAGCACAAATAGAGGCGTTATGTCATTACTTTTTTAACGCTGCAAAAGCTTTGTAGAGTGTCATCAACATTGCGAGTACGTCAAAAGATATAAAATTTAACGTTATATGAGGTATTATAAGTTTGCTCTTAAAAACTGAATGTGTTTTTTTTTTCAATAAATAAATTAGTGGGTCGTCATCAAAATAAAATTGTAATTATTATAACTCCTTTCAGTGGTTTAAGTTATCCAATTCTTTGTATAATTATACAAATGTTACAGAGATTTGAATACGAGGGTTGTCAAAAATTCCGTAGACAACCGTGAAGTTGTAGGAACGCGGTGTCATAAATTAATGAAATTTTATAAGAACTGAACCTTAAGGGGTGTGTCCCTAATAATGTTATCAATATGTGTACTATAAAATAAAAACACAACACTAATATGATAAGGCCCCTCAACACTGACTTTTGGTTTGCTCGTAAAAACCTTTCTTTTTGGACCCCCCCCCCCCTCCTCGAACACATATAAGATTGTATCCTTGTTACCTGATTTATAAATATTTTCAATCAAGAGTGTCTACTAATAGATATGTGTATGCTAAACTTACATGGGATCAAATTTATCAGAAACTAAAACTTCGTGTAAAAATTAATATTGACTGATAACACCCTCTCTTAAAACATTACATGTACGACACAAAAAAGTAAATTTCCATGATGGGAAACTTTTTCGGACTGAATGTTTGTAAATATTGCTATTGGATTTTGTGTTAATTTTCTTAAACAGATCTTTATCTGCAAATGTGTAAAAACTTCGTAAATTCTACATTTCGTACATGAATTAACAATCAACACGAGCTCTGTAGAGCAGTATTACAGTTAAAATATCACAGAAAAACAATTAAAAAAGTCCAGCATGCAAAATAAATAGAGGATATTAATCAATGTTTTGTAGTTGGATATGGAATTTATTTCACGAGTGGAACAGGATTTTTTTTTATATTTTCACCCGTGCTTCGCACTCGTGAAAATATAAAAAAAATCCTGTCCCACTCGTGAAATAAATTCCATATTCAACTACAAAACATTCAATTTTCTGTTTATTATATTTTCTTTGATTTTCTTTTTGCCTCTGTTTTTTCTGAACACTGTGTCATAGGTGCGACGTCATAATTGAGCAGTTGAGACATCATAGCATAGCAGTTTTGAGATTGAAAACATTGTAATATGGATTTTAGCAACATATTTGGGAAGGAATTGGCAGTTTTAGTCTCATTCAAGATGGTTTAATTACTTCCTCAATCTTATTACAGGCCAGAAATTATATTTTACTTACTTTGATATCCTTTCACACTGTGACAGAATATCACTTTGGTATTCTTTCACACTGTGAGAGAATATCACTTTTATCCAATGAATATATCACAGTATTTCACTGTTGAAAATGTAATAAATGTACATATATTTAATTTCACACACAGAGTAAATAAATAAAATACACGTAGAAATCGTTGTTATAATTAAATGACTTGATTGATACTTCATGTTGATATTCTTCACATCTTAGCAGTCTCACCTGTACTTAAAAATCACATTAACTATTTTGAACTTAATTCACTATGCATAAAAAAATAGCTGCAAAATTTTATGAATGGTGGCATTTATGGAAAATGAGCAGCTTGATAAAGTATTCATTTTATGTTTCTGCATTTAGTCCTGTAACTCGGTACTAGATTAAGCGCTTCTGGTCAGATGACACGATATACAAATACCTAACATTGTTCAGTCATTCTACAAAAACATGACCAATTAAGAATTTTTCATGTCGCTTGCAAATTTACCATTGTAATATCATAATTATAAATTTAAAGGTCGATTTCAGCTCTAAGATTTAAAATACACACATTGTTTTGTAAATATTCACCGATATTTATGCAGTTAAAGTTTTGATATGAACATAATGTAATGTTGAAAAACGTATTCCAATGCAAATCTTAATGTCGCTTCATTTATATACAAATTTCAAGATGAAATTTTCAGCCGTAAAATCGTTTCGAATAGAGTGCAATGAATGTTAAAAAATGTCTTTTATCCTATATAAAAAGATATCAAACCACTTCTCGCAAAGAAATGCATAGATCTCCCTTTCATGCGAATTTATAAGCATGTCGCTTAAAATCGATTAACTTCCGTAACGATTTTGTTTTAAATTTCACGCATAGAATGCAGATTTCAAAAAGAACTGAAACTTATCTGAAAGTGACCACGGAACCTTATATCATCGATTCTAGTTATGAGTCAGCAATTTTACATGATTACATTTTCAACATAATAAAATGAATTAAACAAAAACAGTTGTCTCTCTTAAAAAATTAACTTCCGTAACGGTAATTCAGGAAAGTTTTTGCATTTAAGGTATAAAATTTTTGATTATTTTGGGAGCGAAATGCTTCATACTTTTGTTTAATACCCTAAAACAAACTTTGATTTTAACTATTGAAGAGAATTTTAACTTTAATTGCTGGGAATTAACTTCCATAACGATTAACTTCCGTAACGATATTTTTCCCGAAAATTTAATTTAAATTCGGATTCATGCGAGACTTCATGAATCATACTTTAGCGTTCTTTACTGAACATCAGAAAAGAAAAATTGGTCAAATTCAGCTTTATTTAAAAATAATAAGGCTTGATCAAGCATTAACTTCCATAACATTACCTTAAAATCAATGGTATCTTGAAATTGTTGTAAAAAGTTAACGGTTTCAAATTTGTGGACAATTCTTTGTTTTCAAGTTCACTGATAGGTCCTTTAGAGAATTATGATGTTCATTTTGCTATTTGAAACAATTATTTTTTTCATGTTTTTTACTCTGAATTGGTCCATTTATATCGTAGAATGACTGTGTTGATATATTCATATGTATGCATGAATTAACATTAACATGACAAATATGGCCAGGACGTACCCAGCGATTCTTTTTTAGTGATATGGGGAATATCAATTAAAAACAAAAATGGGCCGGTTAGGAGTCGGAACATTCAGGAATTCTTTTATAAAATTCATCATATTATACAAAACATCGTTGATATTTATGTATGCATGAATGAATTTCAGTATAGAAAACATGTCTGGTAAGTATGAGGCAATATTCTGATAAATGGTATAAAGAATGCATGTACATATCAATACCAATCCGTAATCGGAGACAGGATTTTGGTGTACTAGTTTTACCGCCTGCCGTACAACTCCGCGCCAAAACGAAAGTTCACATCCAGGCAACGCAGACGCCATATTTCAAAAGATCGAATATTGAACATAGAAAAAATAGTTATGCCTAACCCTGTTCAAAAGATCAACCCTAGAAAAAGACCGACAGGAAATGCACCAGAGAATGAAACATCGAACAAGTTGTTAAAAACAGAGGTAACGCTAAGAAGATGGCAAAGTCAAACTATAGAGGAGCTGGAGAAAATAAACTCCTACAAACAGATGCTCTGGATAGCAGAGGGAACATATGAAAACACTGCATACTCTGAAAGGACATGGCTGATGAAATACTTTCGTGATGATTACCACAGTGCCTCAATAACAAACCAGCTAAACTCGAGGTTCCTAAACAGCATTTACAAAGGAGAAGAGCACTTGGTAGTAGACCTGGTGAGATCAGCGAAAAAGACACCGTACAGAGAATTAAACAACTTAAAAGTCTACAACAGACAAGATAATTAAGTTTGGATGGACAAGACCTGAATTCCTAAAAGTACTAGTCCTGTCGGCAAAACCACCAAACAGGAAAAATCTAAATCAAGAACTATGGAAAGTGAAATACATAAAAGATAACCAATTAACAGACACAGCACCAACCAGAAAACAAGAAAATTGAGAAGAAATGAATTGTCATGACCTGAAAATGAAGTACTTGTAATCATTGATAGAAATAAATATCAATAATAAGAAAATGTGTTTGTGAAATCAGGGTTTGAAATTTTCATGGAAAACCAACTAGCCCAGCTAGAGGCTACTGATCAGTAAAAAATTACTTGCCCAAACTTCAAACTAATTAGCCCAAATTTTTTTTATGTAAAATGAAAACATAACAAGTTAAAGTTTCAAACGCTGTGGTGACAGAAACAAATTTAACTACAATGTATATAGTTCTCATTCACAAGAAACCAGTCTACATATAAAAGTGAAAGTAAAGTGATGATAATTTTTTTTTCCATTCGGCTAGTCCGATGAACTATCATTACATTTAAATTAGCTAGCCCGAGTCTTAAAATGACTAGCCCTTGGCATCGGGCTACTGTATATTTCAACCCCTGTGAATATGATGCCCCTCCTCTCCATTACGACATTACATGTTTCAAAAGAAGGTCAAACTCTTTAAGTCAAGATCACAAGAAATACAAGTGAAATATCATCATGAAGCCATAGCACCAACTGTTCAGAAATTATGAGCAAAGTTAATTTTTTCTTCAGTAGGTCAAATTCTAAGGTCAAGGTCACAGGAGCAAAAAATAATGGTACTGGAATAAAAATCTTGTCAGAAGAAAAACACTTTAATAGTGAAATATTAACACTAGCACCCACAACTCAGAAGTAATGATGAAGCTTAAAAGTTGGTTATTTCAAGTTTAACAAACAGGTCAAACTTGTAGGTCAAGGTTACACAGTCAAAAATGTTTATACCCAAAGAGAATTTTCATCACAAGGAATACACTTTAGAAATACAAGATGTTCAGCACCAACCATATAAGAGTTAGAGCATCTAGAGGAAAGCTTTAAGTTTTTGTAGTCAAACAAATTAACAGGCAGACCAAAAACTATATGCCCCCCAATCTCCAATTATGGGGGGCATAAAAAAATTCAAACAATAAAGAATGCTTCTTTGCTCAGAAATAATAGTAAAATATGATGGAAAGGAGGTATTTTAAAATGTGTTTATTTGTGAAGTGTGATTGATTTTAAAAATCAACTAGTAAAGAATGAGTGGACTTAATGCCCAGGTTTGGGTCTTCTTTTTTTTTTTTTTGGTGGGGGGGGGAGGGGGGGGCACTACCAAGCTGTAATTGAAGTGAATACAAAATATTTTACAAACAATAATAAGTTCTACATATACCTGAGTATATTCAAAAGAATATTTGTGTAAAAGCAATGAGTTGGTGTTATGAATCAAAACTGAAGCAATGATACATTAGTATGGCCGTCCAGAATTTGGCATCTACCCACGGTGGATTTTAAGTCACCTAATCAATATTAATAGAGACAGGGCTATTGATCAGGGTCATCTTGACATCTCTCTCTTCTCTCTCTCTAGAAATTCAAATAAGTGTATGGTATCATTTAATAATAACAATTACAGAGCTTTCAATATGAAATTTTAAAGAGATCTCTGGTATAGATTTTTAGGACTTGCAAAATTATAACACAACAGATATAATTTGCTCAATTCTGCAAATGACAGACCAACCAAACACTCTCTCAGACCTGATATGTTAAATAGAATAATTCACAAGTACACATGCAGCTGGACACCATGTGATAAATTGTACTATTAACAGGTCAATCGAAGTCTAATCTAGATTAACACACACTCAGGGAACCATAAAATTTCTATTTCCCTACTACCCATTCCATTACTGCATACTATTTTATGGATTCAAAAAATGAAATGCAGAGCACAGGGTTAATCTAGTCATGGCAACAAGCTGAATGTGACGCATTGCCATACACCTGGCGATCTCTGCCCTACATTGTATTTGTGATAGCAGATTTTTTAAGAGGCAATACCCCAAGGATTTCCATACAGTAGAGACTTATTCACTATCTCATGGTTAACATATTATTAAGTTGGTCATCTTCCTTTAGTTAGAGATGTCATGGCCTATTCAAGCAGCATACCTTTAGGTATATATAACATGTGATGGACTTTCCACAGTCTATCGTTTATTGGTCGCATCACCTCTGCGTCCAGTATCATTATCGCAGTTAAAATGACGACCATCGCAGCCAGGTTCCATATTGACGTCGGCCACATTCCATTGTATAGTAAGTTTCTATAGGAAGAAAAGAAATTGATGCATAAAAAAGATATTAAAACTTAGGAAGAAAAGAGTGCTTCAAGTTAACAAATCCTATCTGTCTATGCTTATATCGCAAGTGATATTTAAGGGTTTGAATATCATGACTGATATAAAGGTTTAAATTTACAGAGTTTATTTTCCTAATAAAGAAATTTTTTTATGCTATTGCAGCGATTTTTCTACAGCCAACTTAGCCCTAAATATAGGACCTATTCCCTTGTTAAAATAAAAAAATCCCATTTGAACTAATTTCTTTATCCCCCAAACCAACTAGAGGTTCTGTGAGCTAGCTCACAAATGATAACCCCCGCTAAGAAAATATGAATTTTTTGTTGAACTGCACACAGAGATAATTGGGGTATAGTAATAAACACATGAAATTTTGGGCAGGCATATAATGTAATAAAATGGTAATGGTAACCAACTTTTTAAAAACTTTAATCTTGGCCAGCTTTTGAATGGTTGGTTCTTGGGCTTTCATATTTCACAGGTATATTCATTAATACAAGTCCTTTCTTTGGACAACAACATTTTAAATTTGATCTCTTGACCAATACCCTGGAGTTTGACCTGCATTTGAAAAATTTTACCTTCACCATATAGGCTACCATATGGGAGCATCAGTGTGTCACAAACATATTTTGTTTTTGTTTTTTTTTTGGGGGGGGGGGGGGGGGTGATTTTTCTTCTTTTGCTTCCCTTTTGCCTGTCTTTTTTTTTTTTTAAAATAGAAATAACAATGAGAAAGGAAGCATGAGAATAGCACACATAATTAATTACTTTTTTTAGTTACATTTTTCTGGTTTACTTATACAGAAGGTCAGACAGTGCATGTATTATATATATTTTATAATACTGGTACATAAATTAAGCACATGAAAAAAATCAAATTAAATTTGCACTACACAATTACCAGGGGATTTTTTTTTTTAGCTAAAACTATTCAATTTAATGTATTCAAACTGAAATTTTCAACTCTTGAATAATTTACAATCATTAAATGTGTCACTGCCCTCATAACATTTGTTACGTAAATAAAAAGGTGACCTATTATTTTTCTGATTTCCAAATTAAGTTTAGTACATACATCATGTTCATTAACAAGAGTGGTTTAAGTGATTTAGATGTGTTGAGTATAGTACAATTGTACTTTGACCCCTATATCATGATAAATAAGTAGGGCTTAAAATTAATTAAGCAACATATCTAATCTGAGGCAGCGATTTCACTGTGACACTTGTGCATTCTGATAACTGAGTTTTATCATATCTAAAAAGAAAAACAATTGAATTATAATTACATATTTAGGTACTCATGAACTGTTCCTGGGCTTCTGTTGATGAAGGTGTCAAACTTAAAGTCATTTTTTTTTACTTTCTCTGATACAATAATGTACATTACAATATGATGCAAAGAAAGATATAATAATATTCATGATTCTCTATTAAATTATTTTTTTTAGGGTCTTCCGTCTTCAGCGGAAGACCCTTCTATTATTGTATTGTTTCTTTTTCTTATTAGGGTCTTCCGTCTTCAGCGGAAGACCCTTCTATTATTGTACTGTTTCTTTTTCTTATTATTATTATTATTATTTTTTTTCCTACACCGGTATCTCAGTAATGGTTCAGTGGATTTTTATGAAACTTTCGGAGATGATAGGGAACGATGTTCCCTCGGGACGTTTTTTTCATTTTTGATGATTTTACTTCCGGTCGCGAAATATGACGTATTTTTGACGTTTTTCTGCAATTCCGGTCTGTCCTACTCCGAAGAAACTGCGCAAAATAGAAATTTGAAATTTTCAGGAATGATAGAATTGTGACCTTGACATGTGCACCTGACTTTTGAAATTTTAATAAGATGTTTAAATTTTTCAAATTTTAAAGTTAAATTTTTCAAAAAAAAATTTTTAATCCAATTTTAAAATTTTTTATATTGTCAAATAGATCTTGGCGAGAACTTTCCAAAAATGTATTTGTTTTGCATGTGAGTACATTAATAAAAAATATATAAACTCAGGTGTGTTAGGCCACTTGAGTGCAAGTGTACTTTTAGAACTTTTCTTTAAAAAATCATTACTCTTTTATTTCTTGACCGATTTTAAAAATTTTTACACCGTCAAATAGATCTTTACGAGACCTTTCCAACAGTATATTTGGTTTTATTGTAAGTGCACTAATAAAGAAAATATGAGCTCAGGTAAGTTAGCCTTTTGTTTTGACAGGACATGTCAAAATCATTGTCAAGGATACTGGCGTACGACCGTACTCTTTGATCTTTGGCAGATATCCTTTGATTTCTTTTAAAAAGCATTACTCTTTTATTTCTTGACCGATTTCAGAACTTTATACACCATCAAATAGATCTTTACGAGACCTTTCCAACAATATATTTCTTTTGTTTGTAAGTGCACTAATAAAGAAAATATGAGCTCAGGTATGTTTGCTTTTTTTTGACAGGACATGTCAAACTCATTATCAAGGACACTTGTGGATGACCGTACTCTTTGATCTTTGGCGGATATCCTTTTATTTCTTTTTTAAAAATCTTTACTCTTTTAATTCTTGACCGATTTTAAAACTTTTTACACCGTCTGATAGGTCTTCCTGTGATCTTTCCTACAGTATATTTGTTTTGATTTTAGGTGCAATTTTAAAGAAAATATGAGATCAGGTGTGTTAGAGAATTTTGACGGCCCATGTATAATTTATTGATTTTCTTCAGCGACGTTTAATACACAGTGACCTAGAAAGCAAGGACATTCAATTAAGTCTGAAATAGTGATTTCATAATGTACCTGTGATTATGAAAAATTGTGTATTCAATTTAAATCATTGAAAGGTTTGAATACTATAATTTCAAATTTTAATACCTTTAAAATCGTAAGATTTTGATATATCCTCTAATGTTTAAAGCAGTGAGCCCCTACTTGATGAATTTTTATTACAGCATTTAAAACTTCAAAAATTTTCAAATTTGGAATAATTTAAAAGACTTAAAATATGAAATCAAGGGCATCTAAAACATGAGAACATGGATGAGAGTGATTTGGAGTCTATTGGAGGTCAAAAAGAGTGAAATTTAAACGATTTAAATTTTTGAAAAAAAAAATTCAAAACTGCTCCCAAAGATGGAGAACATCATGCAATAAGGTTGAAATCTCTCAAAGGTCAAATAGAGTGAAATTTAAACGATTTAAATTTTTCAAAAAATTTAAATTGAACCCAAACGTTAAAACAAGGACTATCTCTATATTTTGAGAGATGGAGAACATCATACAATGTGTTTTGAAATCTCTCAAAGGTCAAATAGAGTGAGATTTAAACGATTTAAATTTTTCAAAAAATTTAAATTGCTTCCAAATGTTAATACAAAGACTATCTCTGTATTTTGAAAGATGGAGAACATCATACAATGCGTTTTAAAATCTCTCAAAGGTCAAATAGGGTGAAATTTAAGCGATTTAAATTTTTCAAAAAATTTAAATTCCTTCCACAAACCTAAAAACGCAACAAATGATGTTCTCTTTATTCAAAATATGGAAGTTGGCTTTTATTTAATATTTCATTGCAATTTAAATTTTTTGAAAAAATTAAATCATTTAAATCTCACTCTAATTGACCTTTGAGAGGTTCCAAAACACATTGTACGATGTTCTCCATCTTTCAAAATACAGAGACAGTCCTTGTTTTAACATTTGGAAGCAATTTAAATTTTTTGAAAAATTTAAATCGTTTAAATCAAACTCTATTTGACCTTTGAGAGATTTCAAAACACATTGTATGATGTTCTCCATCTCTCAAAATATAGAGATAGTCCTTCTTTTAACGTTTGAATTCAATTTAAATTTTTTGAAAAATTTAAATCGTTTAAATTTCACTCTATTTGACCTTTGAGAGATTTCAAAACACATCATATGATGTTCTCCATCTTTCAAGATATAGAAATAGTCCTTGGTTTACCATTTGAATTCAATTTAAATTTTTTGAAAAATTTAAATTGTTTAAATCTTACACTATTTGACCTTTAAAAGATTTCAAAACACATTGTATGATGTTCCCCATCTTTCAAAATACAGAGATAGTCCTTATTTTAACTTTTGGAAGCAATTTAAATTTTTTGAAAAATTTAAATCCTTTAAATTTCACTCTATTTGACCTTTCAGAGAGTTCAAACAATATTGTATGATGTTCTCCATCTTTCAAAATACAGAGATAGTCCTTTTTTCAAAATTTGGATTCAATTTGAATTTTTTGAAAAATTTAAATCGTTTAAATTCCACTCTATTTGACCTTTGAGAGATTTCAAAACACATTTTATGATGTTCTGCGACTTTCAAAATGTAGAGATAGTCCTTGATTTAACCATTTGGATTCAATTAAAATTTTTGAAAAATTTAAATCGTTTAAATCTCACTCTAAGTGACCTTTGAGAGGTTTCAAAACACATTGTATGATGTTCTCCATCTTTCAAAATACAGAGACAGTCCTTGTTTTAACATTTGGAAGCAATTTAAATTTTTTGAAAAATTTAAACCATTAAAATTTCACTCTATTTGACCTTTGAGAGATTTCAAAACACATCATATTATGTTCTCCATCTTTCAAGATGTAGAAATAGTCCTTGTTTTACCATTTGAATTCAATTTAAATTTTTTGAAAAATTTAAATTGTTTAAATCTCACTCTATTTGACTTCTAAAAGGTTTCAAAACACATTGTATGATGTTCTCCATCTTTCAAAATACAGAGATAGTCCTTATTTTAACTTTTGAAAGCAATTTAAATTTTTTGAAAAATATAAATCCTTTAAATCTCACTCTATTTGACCTTTCAGAGATTTCAAACAATATTGTATGATGTTCTCCATCTTTCAAAATACAGAGATAGTCCTTTTTTCAAAATTTGGATACAATTTGAATTTTTTGAAAAATTTAAATCGTTTAAATTCCACTCTATTTGACCTTTGAGAGAT